CATGGCTTCAGTTTGAACTCCTTGATGCCTCCACAAAGATTTTTGTTTCCAAATACTGAAACTATAGAAGCATTCTGAAATTTTCCTTCTGTTGGCACACTTCCTTCGAAGTTGTTATCAGAGAGATTGAGATACTCCAATGAAGAAAAGTTTGCAAGATAAGCAGGTACACTTCCAAATAGATTGTTGTTGGAGAAATCAACGCTTTTAAGACTCTTTAAGCCTCTTATATCCGGAACCGCTCCATCAAAATTGTTACCTTGAAGCGCAATTATTTCCATCGTGAAACAATTTCCCAAGGAGTGTGGAAGTTGTCCTGATAATTTATTACGCGCAACAGATAGTCTAATAAGATGTTTAAGCCCTCCAATGTCTTCTGGTAGAGAGCCGGTCAAAGAACTACCTGACATATCTAGTTCAACAAGGGATTGCATTCCCATAATGCTCTCAGGGATAGTCCCATGCAAGTTATTAGGCCCAGTCGTTAAGTAGCGTAGGGAAGTACAATTACTGAGACTTAGAGGAATGGTTCCTTCAAATTTATTGTTTTCCAAGAAAAGGATGTCCAACCGAGTGATGTTTCCTAGAAAAGATGGTATCTCTCCTGATATACTATTTGAACCAAGAACAAGCGCTTCCAATTGTAAAAGCTTGCCAATGGAGGTTGGGAGTGAGCCTGTGAACTGGTTTTTTTCTAAGAAAAGTTTTTCTAGGCTGACGAGCTTCCCAATGTCGTGAGGAATGCTTCCAGTTATGAAATTTTCTCCAAGGCTTAAAACTTTGAGGTTTATGGACAGATTTGCAATGGAGGTAGGCAAGTGACCTCCAAGCCTATTTCCACTAACGTCTAAACTTTCCAGTTGAGTGCAGTTCTCTAAACCGCCGAGGAATTCAAAATCTCCGAAAGACTGACTTCCCAAAAGATTATTACAAAAAGACAAGATTTGCAAATTCTCTAATCTTTCCAAGCTTGGAGGAATACTTCCCGTCAGATTGTTGATATTGAATGACAACAGCTGAAGAGCCGAGATATTTGAAAGTGATGCTGGAATGGCTCCTTTGAAAAAATTACTTCCTAGATGTAAAAGCTGTAAGTTTGGTAGCAGCCTACCAAAGTCAGGTCTCAGGCTACCCGAGAAATAATTAGCTTCCAAGTATAAATACTTAAGCGAGGATAGATTGTATATCGCAGGAGGAAAAACACCAGAGAACTGGTTCTCTGGTAAAACAAGAGAGACCATTTGAGTCAATCTATCTATATCACCCGGAATTTCTCCTTCTAAATGGTTGCCCCCAAAGTTAACTTTCATGATTGATGTCAAGTTTATTAGAGAGGCAGGGAGCTTCCCTTTCAAGTGGTTTTTAGCAAGAGTTATAATGACAAGCTTCGTCAATGACCCTATCTCTGAAGGAACACTTCCTTCAAGATGATTTGATATTAAACGAAGCTCCAACAATCTAGAGCAGTTAAATAAATTAACTGGAATCTCTCCTCCGAGATTATTAGAGCTCATATCCAATTTTTCAAGTCTAAACAAGTTTCCAACCTCGTGAGGTATGGAACCACCAAAAGAGTTATTAGAGAGATCAAGTGATATGAGAAACGAAAGATTACCAATAGATGGTGATATCATTCCGCCCAACTGGAACCCATTGAGGTCCAAACCGGTAACTCTCTTGTGTTTGAGGCCGCATGTAACTCCTTCCCAATCGCAGAGAGGTGATGAGTTATTCCATGAGGACAAAACAACTCTTCTTTCTTCAGAGACTAGAGACTTGACTTCGACCAATGCCTTCCTATCACTTTCATCGGTAAAACCATGTGACGTTTCAAGTAACATGAGGGTATTGAAAGAAAATAAGAGAAACAAAATCATGCTTCTCATTCTTTTTTTTTTTTTTTGGGTTAAAAGCTTCTCAAAGTTTTCAGGAAAGTGAATATATGAGAGGAAGCAAATGCAAAATTTCTTCTTCGAATTGGTGTCGAAATATATCGGCTCACAACCACGTAAAGAAAACTGCAAGACTTTTCCAAAAATCACGTGAACTTATAGTCAACCTTCTTGTAGTATGAGTCAAGTCTCCCACTCCTACTAGTCTCTCGTGTCTTGGTAATGTATTTCCAAATGGTTTATTAATGGAAGGTGACTAAAGTTAGCCTGGCACTGCTTCAAGTTACGTGTTCTAAGGGTTTGCTACAAGTTACGTGTTCAAAGGGTTTGATTCAAGTTACGTGCTCAAAGGGTTTCATTTGCAAGAAAATTGAATATATATGAGACGAAGCTAATAAATGCCTTTCTTTTTTTATCGTGTTGTTGTGGTAATGCAACCTAAAGGAATATACTAGTGGGCTCACAAAGACACAGACAACTACAACACTTATAAAAAATCCCGTGGACTTGTAGTCAACCTTCTTGTCGTCTCTGAGTGAAGCAAGTATCCCACTGCAGTCAAGTATATAAGTAGTATCGTGTTTTGTTCGGCCAATGTATTAATTGAGGTGTCCTCTTCTTTACTTCTCAGCTGAGATTAATTAGCACTTAAGCAGTAGTGCTGATGCACGTAGTGATGATGCAAAGCAATTTTGAAAGGATGGAATAAATTGAAGTGTTTAATGTAGGACAAATTCGATTTAAAATAGTTTAAACCTTTTTTAACTTTGACCTTTTCATCGGCCCTCCTCTTCCCTCGCCGTAAATACCAAGTCTCTCTCAACCCAAAAACTCCTCTCTCTTGTCTGTTAAAAGACTATAGAGACATTTTTTCTACAAACTGAAATGAGCTAATTATAAATTAATTAAAAACAAATCTAACACGAGAGATGTCTTTTTCCACTTTGTCAATCTCTATCTTGGCCGTGGTGGCCTTGCAACTCCAATTTGTACACATTGTTTTGTCCCTAAACCAGACCAATTCATATCTGCAACACATATGTATCAAAAGTGAAGGAACATACAACCCGGACAGTTCATACGAGAACCAAATCAAACGTCACCTAGACTATTCGTCCACCAATTATCTTGACTACGGTTTCATCCACGGCGTAGGTGGTGAGGGTCCCAATACCTTCTACATCAAGGCACAGTGTCGGGGCGACGCCTCTCTATCCATGTGCCGCTCTTGCCTCTCTACCGCCTTCTCTGGGGTAACGTCATTTCAATAATATCCATTTAGCTGTCACACTCAGTGACTACACCATTTCATACGTCATGTGTATTATGATACTCTATTGGGGATGGTTTAACAATTTAATTATGATTGTACAAAAAGGACAATAGTTCTTGCTTTTGATATATGTAATGTAAATGTGTGTGACAGATTCTTAGGAAATGTCGGAACAACAAAGGGAGAATCATATGGTACGACAACTGTTTTCTGTACCTTTCTTCGATCTATACCTACCAGAAGATCGATTCCAAGCACTATTTGTATTTGCAAAATGCAAAAGATGTGAGTGGCAATACAAAGTTGTTCAACAAGAACAAGAGGGATCTCCTATATAAGCTGAAGGGGACAGCAACTCGTAAAGAACAAAAGCCTTACACAAGAGACTACATGTATGCCACGGGAGAGGAAAGTCTCGGGAAGATGAAATTGTACGCAATGATGCAGTGTACGCAGGACTTATCGGTTAAAAATTGCAGTGTGTGTTTGGATTCGATAATAGCGAAGCTTCCTAGTTGCTGCAACGGTAAACAAGGAGGAAGAGTTTTGAATCCAAGTTGTACTTTTAGGTACGAGCTTTACCCTTTTGTAAAACCTTCACAATGACGGCCAACACGCCTTATAAATCCAAATGACAATAATGCAATTATAACCGTATTGTACACGTTATCTAGTAAATTAGTTTTTTTCATGCTGATAAAGTAAATTAATTACACACCCAAGCACCAGGTTTAGTTATTCTTTATCTTATTAAGACCAAAAAGCTTATGGGACTAAACACATTCAACATCCAGAAAACTCGACATAGGTTTAGAAACAACATGAGAAAAAATTTGTCTGCTTCGAGGATATAAGAGAAACAACTAGCCACTGTCAAAAGAGGTAGGAAAGTTATCACAAAAAGAACAAAATCTCATGATGAAATTAAAAAAGGTATTTTCTAGGCCACTGGAGGAATCATCTCAGGGTAATCTACGGCTGTGAGTGGGGCTTCGGGCAAAAGAGCAGCTGGAGCAGCAACCTGAACATGTGCGAAGTTGACATCTTCATCTTTAGGAGAGTGGATGATCACAACATCAGGCAATGGTGTCTTCGGTCCTGTAATGCCCTTAGGGTCCCAATCAAGCATGATCTTCACCTTGATTCCCAACACCCCCTGTACATGCGGGTTGAACCGACATGGTTAGACTAAGCTGGAATACTTTCTCACTAAATGGAAAATAAGAAACTCAGGAGAACACTTACTTGTCTAAGCAAAACATGTCTAACTGCAGAGTCAATGTATTCCTTAGTTGGTTGACCAGATGAAACCATGTAACCATCCATGAACTTCATCGACTTTGCACGTGCAGCCCGGAGCTTTCCACTTACAATGACCTCGCATCCCTTAGCTCCACTCTCCATAACAAATCTCAAAACACCATAACAGGCCCTGTATGGCAAATAATAATTGCAATATTAACATATTGAGGGTGAGATGTTCAAGCTAAACAAGAGATGCCAACACTCAGGAGCTAGACAAGGCCTTGTCAAAACATTATGTATGCTCAGTTTGTTCAGAAGATAGAGACACAACAATCACACACAACCAATAAAGCCTGTAAATTTAAAGAAACTAAACAGAGAAACACAATTGCAATTATATCCTATACATTTTAACTATTAAGGTTTGGTAAACTGCTTATTAGACGCCAAGGAAGCTAAACAAAATCAATTAGCTCAATAACAGTCTCAAAATTGCTATGACTAATCAAACAAAGCAATATACAAGTCGCAAGAGAATACATGAGAGCATACTACAGAAATGTAGTGTACCTACGAACAGCAAGACCACCAAGAAGCTTGTAACGTAGAGACTCAGCTTGTGCAATGGCACAGAGACCTCTGTTTGCAACCTTCTCAGCATAAAGCTCAACACTGTCTTGAGGAAACTTAAATCTCTTCTGAACAAGGGATGTCAATTCCCTAATTCTCCTTCCCTTCTCACCTTAAAACCCAACATTTCCGATATCAGATTCCAAAACAGAATCACAGCTCCTAAATCCAAATGATTGGGACACAATCGAGATCAAGAACATACCGAGAACGTTCTGAGTACGGGTAGCTCTGATGATGATCTCAGTCCTCATTGGAGTAACCCTAACCTCAACACCAGAGTAACCATCCTCTGCAAGCTCTCTAGTGAGAACCTCATTCAATTCAGCGTAGAATACACCATCTGCTACAAACTACAACACACAGTATCCCAATCAGTTCCAATACGACACACACAGCGAGACAAATCCATTGAAAATGAAATTTCAAAAAAAAAAATCACCTTTCTCTTCTTGCTAATTTGAGTCGCCATATTTGTGGATATCAAAATCAGCCGATCTCTGAAACCCTAAATGATGGGACGAAAGATCAGTAATCTCAAGAGAATCGGTAAGCTCGTGTTCGTTACCAGATACATTTAGTATTTATATTGACCTAATTCAGAAACTCAGGTTTCGCAACCAATTGAACTTGGGCCTATATGTTCAATAATTCGGCCCAATAGACATTTAATGGTCTATTTTTTAGAAATTTTAGTGTTAATAGTTGTTGTAAAAATTTCAAGAAATTAATAATTTCATCATTTCCGACTCTGATTTTGAATCGCTGTCATTTTCCGGCGACGACAATGGCGTCAGCTTCCAAGAACATTCAGCAAAACCCTTTCTCCTTAAAACCGCCAAGGCCTCCTACGTCTTCCTCCGGCGCTGCATCTTCCACCGCCGTGGCTTCCACCTCATCTGAACCCCAAATTCGGAACCCTAACTTAACCCCTAACCCTAGCACAAACGTCTTGCCCTCGACTTCGGATTCACCGATTACGATGTCACAAGAAGATGAAATCCTCGCACGCTCCAGTCACCTCACCCGCCCGGAGCTTCTCCGACGCCGATCACACAACCTTAAGCAGCTCGCCAAGTGTTATAGAGACAATTATTGGGCTTTAATGGAGGATCTCAAGGCGCAACACAGGGATTATTGGTGGAAGTATGGGGTTAGTCCCTTTAAAGACGAACATAGTCAATCCAATAAGAGACGAAGGATTGGTCCTGATGGAGAAACTGGAGATGGTGATGCTGTTGAAGGTAGTGGAGACAATGGTACGAATAATGATGGTGGTAATGGTGTTAAAACTGATCAGTATGCGAATAGTAATTGTGGGAGTTGTATGTATGGATGCAAAGCTAAAGCTATGGCGCTCACCAAGTACTGTCAGTTGCATATTCTCAAGGATAGTAAGCAGAAGCTCTACACTGGTTGTACAAACGTTATAAAACGGTTTGTTTCAAGATCCCTTTCTTTAGTTTTGAAATTCGCAGAAACTAGGCTTCAAGTTATGTTCTTTACGTACTATTGTTATGTTAAGATGTAGTGATGATGAATCACTGCCATGTAGTTTGTATGTGTAATGAGTTTGCACAAGGGATTTGGGATTGACACTTAGCTCCGTTTCAAGGTTTTCTGTAGGGGTTGAGAGAAAATGTTAGTTTTGGACATCTAAATAGATATCCTCTGTAACATTTTGTAGATTGCGGTACTTGTCTTGTTTTACAACCATGTTCAATGTGTGTGTTATTCTGGTTGATATACATAACTGACACATATGCTTGAAGTTGTCTCTGTCGATGTGTATTTGTAAAAGAGTTAAGGTTGTGAGTACTAGCATAATTAGATCATCTTTACAAATGAGTTCCGGGATGGAACTCTTTGAAACTGTAATTGAGTTGGAATAGTCCTACTGTGGTTGTGTAATAAAAGAGTAAGTAGATGTCAGATTGATACATAATCATTCTCAGGTTGGGTTTGTTACAAACCAGATGTCATATATAAATTATTTTGTATGCTGATTATTTGTAATAACTATGTGATGGTATTTTTGAGAAGTTCTTTCCTAACTCTGCATTTGTACATTTCAGAGCTCCAGCAGGACCATTACTTTGTGGAAAACCAACACTTGCATCAACAGTTCCTGCACTGTGTAATATGCACTTCCAGAAATCCCAAAAGCTTGTTGCTAAAGCTCTAAAGGATGCTGGTCACAATGTCTCTTCAACGAGTAGGCCTCCCCCGAAGCTCCATGTTATAGTAGCTGCATTTGTGCATCATATTCAAGCAAAAAGAAAAAACCCACAGATGGAGGGTAAACTCAAAAGTGTTGTAAAAGAAGAAAATACAAGCTGAATCATGCTCTTAGCGTTCCCAGAAGTAATTTCTGTGTATCAAGTTTTCGAGAATTGAAGAAGGTGAGGATCTTTGCCTACTGTATCATTCTAGGAAGAAGTGACATAAAACTTCATTTGTTGCGCTCTGATTCTCTACAGATTTTGATACTGTGTAGGTATTGGATGTGGTTTATCTGCACACCGAGCTATTAAGACAGGTTTCGTTACAGTGCACTGTAGCCTGTAGGGTATAGTAGATAAGATAGTGGTAGATTATTGAGATGAAGAAGATTCTACTTTTTTTATAGGGTTAATAAGATGGTTATAGATCCATACGCACAAATACTTTATAACTCACTCTAAAGTTCTGGAGATGTCCTTCTCTGTTTTGTTGCAATTTTGATCATTTCTAGTTTTCTACTGTTTACTTGTGAAAACGTATGCTACTCCTCAAGGCAACAAGGCATTGGTTGACCGTTTCTATTACTGTCTCTTGACTTAGAATGTTATTCGGTTATTGACAAATTTGGTTTTAAAATCAGGTTGATTTAGAATACTATTCGGTTTTCTAAAATTTAATAGAAAAAAAACGAATTGGTTGACCGGTTCGACCCGATGGAACCCTAATAGACTATTATAATTTATTTAGCTGTACGTACCTGCGTCTTGGGTTCACCGTTTCAGTTACATAAATCGAACTGAAGAACCCCGGTTAAACGAATTTGGATTACCAATGATGGTGTAGACTAGAGAACCGGCTCAGATTTTCGGTTTGATTAGCTTCCGGTTCGATTGCAGTCACTCTGACTCACTTGGGGACTCTCGCGTAACACAGAAAAAAAAAGTGTTTGCTGAAAATTGAAGGAAAGTAGAGTCAACGAAGAAAGAAGCAGAGATAGTTTCGTTGTAACTCTAAGAAAATGGCGAACAGCAAATACGAGTATGTGAAGTCATTTGAATTGGAGGACGAAGTCATGCTTCCGAAGTTGATCGTTGTTCGAATCGATGGTCGTGATTTTCTTAGGTAATTTTTTCTCGTTTTATTTTATTCGTTCGTTTATTGAAGGAGATAGTCTACAATTTTTTTTTTATTATGATGATTTATACGAAATTTATCAATCAGTGTTCTACAAGAAATGTCAATTGTGATTTGTGATGCTCTTTCATTGCAATATTCATGATTTTGATTATGAACATTCCTTGCAATATTTTTCAAAATTCCATCTTATTTAGTGTTTCACATTGTACCTGGAATATAAACATTGCTGAAGTATGTATGCCTATGAGTAATTCTTTCAATTGATGACTATAGATTTTCTCAAGTTCATGAGTTTGAGAAGCCTAATGATGAAACAGCACTCAGTCTGATGAATTCGTGTTCAGCTGCTGTTTTGGAAGAGTTCCCCGACATCATCTTTGCATATGGATACAGTGACGAATACAGGTCCCAAAATTTTTACTTCGTTGGCTTTATATCTTGTAGCATAATTGTATAGAGATCATGTACATGCGTCTAACTGATTTCCATATCTTTTGTAGCTTTGTATTCAAGAAAACATCAAGATTCTACCAGAGACGAGCCAGGTTTTGATTCCATTAAAATTGTAACATACTTGTATATATCTCAGAGGCGTTTACTAGAAGAATCTGTTTGAATCATAGTTTTCACTTTCTTGTTTTTGGTTTATATGCAGTAAGATTTTGTCGTTGGTAGCTTCGTTCTTTGCTGCAGTTTATGTAGCAAAATGGAAACAGTTCTTTCCCCAAAAGAAATTAGAATATGCTCCTTCCTTCACTTCTAAAGTTGTTAGTTGTGCTTCAGCAGAGGTTCTTCAAGCTTATCTCGCTTGGAGACAACAGGACTGTAAGTCATTCTGACATCTTAAATATTGTATTCACTATTCAATACACTTTCATGATAATTTATGTTTTAAGATATTATTTATACTTATTGGCTTGTAATATCTTTGGGGGCTTCTAACAACTTCCGTTTCTTGGTTGCAGGTCACGCCAATAATCAGTATGACACTTGTTTTTGGATGTTAGTTAAAAGTGGAAAGAGCATAAGTGAAACACATGAGGTTCTAAAGGTGTGTTGTTTGTGTTTAATACTACGACTATAATTATTTTTTCTTCTACAGATTATCGTAATGGCCATTTACCTTCTTACGCCTAGTAATTATATGACTTTGATCACACTATGTCTATTTCCATTGGGTACGTGCAGGATACACAAAAACAGCAGAAAAATGAGCTTCTGTTCCAGAATTTTGGTATCAACTACAAAACGCTTCCTGAATTGTTTCGCCAAGGATCTTGTCTTTTCAAGAAAAAGGTGATATTGTATATCTTTGTTTGAAATTATATATACAGCACTTGATTTGATATGTCCTATGTATGTATCTAGATACATAGATCTTCCAATTGTAAGTTGAGTCTCTATGATGGTTAGTAATCTTAGTTTGGTGAACAATATTTTTGGTGCACATGTACGTTTAGGCTTACTCATTGTTATTTGTAAATTACAGTTTTCTGAATCCTTGTAAACCTGGTCATGTGTAAAGACTAGTACTTCAGCTTGGTTAATATTCAGGGGTGAAACTGACCTGTCTAGCTGATCTTTGTGTATGATAAAGAGTCAGATCTTCTCTTGTCATTGCATCTTGCTTGATGTTCATCATAAATTTGCGTGATGTTTATATACCTAAGATTTATTGTAGATTCCCAATATGACTTACTTTCATTTACCTTCATTCAGGTGGAAGAAACTGTAAAGCATGATGAGAATGGCAATCCTGTAAAAAGATTGAGAAGAAAGGCTGTTCTTGTACATTCTGAGAATATTGCCGGAAGAAACTTTTGGAATGAGCAGCCCTCCCTATATAATGATCTTGGCCACTTCACAAAAGACATTGGAAAAACTGAACCAGAGTTTATTAGGTCGTTTCAGTTTGAGAACAAATTGTTACCTTTAACATGGGTTGTAGTTAGGATTGATGGCTGTCATTTTCACAGGTGATTTTCTTTAGCTAATCTTCTTAGTTTCTTATAACTTTGTCATATTTGTAATTGCATTGAAAGTTGAAACCTTAGACTAGAAAACTCCTTGTGCTCCATATGAATCAGCTGTATCATGAAATGATATACCTCTTTGGCTGGCCTGTTCAGTTTTCTTCTGTTGTGTTATGGTTGCCTTTGTCTATGGCATATTCTGATTTTAGAATTTGAACTTACATTTTCATAAAGAATTCATATTATTATTGATTACTAGTGATTCTATGATGAAAATGAAACTCATGCAGCTAGCTTGGATTTTGGTAGATTTTCTGACGTTCATGAATTTGAGAAGCCAAATGATGAGCAAGCGCTGAAACTTATGAATTCATGTGCAGTGGCTGTTCTCAAGGAGTTTGAGGATATTCACTTTGCCTATGGTGTCAGTGATGAGTACAGGTGTTCATCTCTCAACCTCTCTATCTCAGCTTTACATATCTTAGATATTAATTAAGTTCATCATCGATTACAGCTTCGTTTTGAAGAAAGAATCTGAGCTCTACAAAAGACAATCCAGGTTAACCTAAATTTCTCTTTTCCGTTGCCCTTTTGGGCCTATCTCCCTAACGTTCTTGTCTTAATATCTAGTATTGTATTGCAGTAAGATAATATCTGCTATCACATCCTTCTTTACATCCACATATGTTTTACAATGGGGAGAGTTTTTCCCTCACAAAGAAATGAAGTACCCTCCATCATTCGATGGACGAGCTGTATGCTATCCAACATACAATATTCTATTGGATTATCTGGCATGGAGACAAGTTGACTGTGAGTACAACAAGACTGTCTTAAAGAACTTATTTGGAATCATCTATATACGAATAGTCTCATGTGTTCTTGATGTTTTCATTTGGCAGGCCACATCAATAATCAGTACAATACATGTTTCTGGATGCTTGTTAAGTCTGGAAAAACCAAAACTCAATCCCAAGATTACTTAAAGGTATTTTGTTATGATGGATGATAAATAGATCATTTTCACAAGTAGTCAAATTCTTAAAATGGTTGTTATCTTTGGTTTTTTATGAATGACTTTTCCAGGGTACCCAAACACGAGAGAAAAATGAGCTGCTTAGCTGTCAATTTGGAATTGAGTACAACTCATTACCTCTAATCTTCCGAATGGGTTCTTCGGTTTTCCACCTAAAGGTTAGTATTGGCCTAATAATCAAACTTTTATAACTATGCATAGAAAGATTGGTATACATTGGACTAAAGAAGTTTCATAAGTGCCAAACTGGTTCTCTTCTTACCGTGTGAATCAATTAAGTTACGCAAATCTTTGGCTATGAATACGTAACTGGCTAAATCATATACCAAACCTGAAATGTAACTACCACCACTCGTTTCTTATCAAACTCATCAAGCATTTGAACAGAGTAAAAAAACTTCTTCCATTAGTTGCAGAGCTTGAGCTTTGTGGTAACGTGTTAAACAGCTGCGTGAATATTATTCTCAGGAAGCTGTTGCAGTCGAGAGTGGAGAAGTATCAGGGAAGAAACTGAAAGGAGAAGTGGTGGTACATCATTGCAACATCATCGAACGCTGTTTCTGGGAAGAACACCCTCACATTCTGAGCTTACTTAACTCTCACAAAACAGCTACATTTTAGTATTTTGCTTCACGTGTAAAACTAATTTTATTGCAAATTCCAATCTCCAATTCATTACAACTTATGAACAATTGTTCAACTTTTCTTTTGCCACACATGCGTTATATGAGCTCAAACCTCAGTTTACAAAGGGTGTCAACAATTGTACTTGAGATTTTTAGAAAATTATTTAGCTTAAATATTACATACAAATAAATAAATCAGATATATTTGTTGAATTGAAGACGAGGGAGATAGGGATATATTGTAAAACATTAAATTCACACCATACTTGCACACCGTCCAACTTGAATAGATTTTTATTGTACTTAGGAATGTATATGTACATCAGTAATAAGAAATTATCAGAAAAGTTATTATCTGTGCATGAATGTTGCTTGGATTAATTGGGTTTTTAGTACATTTTTGAAACATAATTGTAGAAGTAGTACATTTACTATTTATTATTAGCAAATTAATACATTTTTACTATTTGGACACTATTTACACACTATTAAAAACCCTTTTAAATCTAATAACTAAAAATATTCATCAAAATATATTTGTTTTCTATAAAATTTCAATTACATAAAAATCTATATTTTTTCTCTATAATTTGATATGCATTTTTAAAAAAATAATTTCAAATATTTTTCAAACAAATTTTGATACGTCCAGCTATCCCTATGTACAGTTGTGTGTCGATATACGGAAAATCATCCGTACAGCGGTCTATATATACGTATAATTGTATGTGTACAGATATATTATGGTCTATATATGTATATTTGTTTATGTGTAAATATGTTTATATGTAGTTGTTTCTCTTTGTACAAATATTTGATGTACAATAATATGTTACTGTACAGTTGTCTGTCTGTACAGATATCTGAAATAGTAAATTTGTACTATTTTGCTAATTGTAAATAGTAAATGTACTATCTTTATAATTATGTTTCAAAAACGTACTAGTTTGCCAACGCACCATGTTGCTTTTCCACACTCACAAGTTTCAAAGCATTACAATATTCTCTAAAGTTTCAGCAGCTTTCTATCTAAAAGTTATAGAGTGACTGAGTGAATTTGAGAGAGAAGAGGGAAGAAAGCTTCAAACTCACTAGTCACAAGGAGCATGCTGCATGCCGATAGGTTGAAGACACTTGGTTTTTGACGGAATAAAAAAGCATTACACATGGATTAATTAAATAAGGTCGGGTCGGTAAAACAAATAATATATGTACTTAATAAATCTTACTTTAATCTTTATGTTATCGAAAAAAAAAAAAAAAGTTATAAACCAAAGGAAAGGGGATGATGAGAGCCAAAGTATAAAGAGAATTTAGGGTTTGGAGGCTCTGGAGAAAAGTGGCAATAACCTTTGTAATACACACCTGGTAGGATCATCTCATTCTGTTCTGCTCTTTGTACGTTGTTAAAATTTCAGATCTGGCTTTTTGTCTTCCTAAAGAAGTAATTTGTCTCGAGTTACTCATTCTAGTTACTGACAATTTGTTCATTTCTCTGTTTTCTGTTAGTGTTACAGTGAAAATTCGTTTTGTGTGTTATGGAAGCAATCCCTTATTCCTTGTGACGTTTTTGCTGGTTAACCGGAGATCGTATCTGCTGACCCCTAGGTTTCTTCTTTCTTTCTTTTTTTGGTGTCAGTGTCTTTGAACGCACGCTCATCTCTTTGTCATGGTGGCCACCTCTGCTACCTCGCTTCAACCTAATGGAAATGGCAACAGTGTTGGATTTGCTGGACTGAGTTGGGAACATAACTCTGGCATAATGAAGGTTAAACCAAACACCCCCGCCGAGACCAAAAGGCAGAAGACACATGATAGGAAGGAGACAAGTATTGATCTTCCGGAGGACTTAGTGATAAACATAACGGCAAGACTGCCGCTGAAAAGTGTCGTTAGGTTCAAGTTGGTGTGTAGAGAATGGAAATTGCTTACGGAATCTGCATTTTTTCGCGGTCTCTACAGTAGCAACTTAAGTTCAACCTCTTCTTCTTACTGGTCTATCTTTCACGGAGATCACAAATCCCGACATTCTAGTTTGGAGGAGTTGAAAGTACTCGACGAGCCATCATGGCATGGTGATTCCTCTTTTGCAAGTTTTGTGACTCGAAACATTAAGAACAAGATCAAAGAGATTAGGGTTGTGGCTTGCACTGATGGATTGGTTTTGCTGCGTCTCGAGGATGAGGAGGACATGAAGATACGTTACTACATTGGCAATCCCGTACTACCACAATGGATTCAACTCCCTCCTCCTACTCCTGATGTGCCACACCCATACAAATATGGTTTCAGTGACACGGGACTTGTGACGCGAATGCACAATGGTGCTCTCTTAGATTACAAGGTTGTTCGATTATACAGCGAAGCAGTTAAGTTCTGTTTTTTTTCTCCAACATGGAGTTTTGATATCTTTTCATCCACTACGGGGGAATGGAGTGTTAAAAAGGTTTCTTGTCCTGGGAAGGGTGTTTCTATGCGCAGCATATCCAATCCCATTTCTTTGGATGGGAAACTTCACTGGCCTGACCAGTCCCGACGTATTATTGTCTATGATTTCTTCTCTCATGATGATCACGTTCGAGCCTTATGCCTACCCGCAAGGATGCAAGGTACTCAGTGGGATCCATTTGAGACCACATGCTATAAAGTATTTTGCCCCTCTCCATGTGGTAAACTGATATGCACCACCTCGCAAGGATATTTTGTGCTTGTTGATGTTGGATTGATAGAAGAAGAGGTCAAGAGCTATAATGTTAGGGTTTGGAGGCTCAAGTGTGATTCATGGAGCTGGGAAAAGGTATGGGAAATCAACATGGCATGTGTAGGGCTTGCTCCTAACTGTGTTCCAATGGCAGTCAACTATTTTGATATCGACATCATCTACCTATGGGACTTAGACCGCAAATGTTTCCTTGGTTATAATCTTCGGGAAAATACAATATCTTATAAAGCTCGTAGGGATGGTGTGTACAAGGTGTTCACTTCTATTTTTAGAATGAAAGAAGATGGTGTCTACTACGATGAAGATACTATATGTTTCGAGGGGTATCCGTGCCTTATGCAATATATTCCGTCTTTGCAAGTTGTACCTACGTACAAAGGAAGTAGAAAGTAGAAACCAAGGATGATTTGACTCTTAACTTTTTTTCTCTCTTTTGTTTATGTTTTGCTTTTCAACATTTGATTTTGTTACACTGAAACTTCTAATGGATTTGATGGCTTCAACTAATTAAGACTTTGGGATGGTGCCAAAGTATGATGTATTATTGGTTTAAGACATAAGACGTAGAATGGTGCTTTATATTACGCTAGTTTATTTATGTTATCCTCTAGATTTTTATACCAATTCAAAATTATTTCCCCAGAGTTGTCTAGTGAAGAAACTGAAAGGAGAAATAGTGGTAGATCATTGCAACATCATCGAACGCTGTTTCTGGGAAGAACACCCACACACATTCTAAGCTAAATTACTCTCACAAAACAACTACATTTTAGTATTTTGCTTCACGTGTAAAACTAATTTTATTGCAAATACTTACAAATTGTGAACCATTTGTTCAAAGTTTAATTTTCTACATGAATGTCAAGAAACCATTGTTCAGATATTTACACTAATATTTTAGGTTATGAATTGTTTAGAAGTAGGAAATGGCTAATATTAAGCTAGAAATACGTTAAAAACCTATATACAATGTGGAAGATGTAAAACATTAAATTCACACCATACCTGTGCACCGACCAACTGCTAACTTCTCTTGCGTTACGTAAAACTAATTCTCTCAACTTTTGTTTTCTTTAATGTATTCAACAATAGAGACAGTATTATTAATATTTTCTACGATATGTTGTGTACTAGTAATTCAATTGCATATCAAGTCGGTCCAACTACTTGATGAGACTGATTTTTCAAGCTGGTGGTTAGAGTTCTTATTCAGTAAATGTTTTTGTCCAACAAAACTATAGTAAATAAAATAATTAGTAATAATATCAATTTAACAGAAAAGATATTGAATCTATAGTAAATAAAATAAAATTCAATTCAATTGGTCTCAACTCTAAAATCATTATAAGTAAATAAAATCTTGGGAAAATGGAAAGAAAAAAATCCAGTAATATTTCAATATTAGATGAAAACTTTAAAAAATCTAGATATATTCCTAATTTACAAGGTCTCTTAATTCTTGAACAAGTTATGTATAATTGGGGGAAAAATCAGGTCAAAATTTTTGGATACAAATTGTTAAAGAGTGAATCCAAATTACAAATATTTTTTACCATTAAACCATCTCTAATAATAAATGAAAGTCAAACTTATAATGGTCATTTTAGGAAAATTTGAAAGGTGGCAATTTGACATTTCTTAAATTTTAAAATATATATTGGTCGACATATATATAATATGTTTGTTGTTCATGTAACGAATAATCAAAAGAAAGACAAAAATATGAAAAATAAATAAATAAAGATTATGGGAAAAGCAATCAATATGGAAGTCGTGGATCCTTACCTCACCGTTCGTCACAAGAGATCTTGTCATTTAAAGCATCTGATCCTTTCACATTGTATTTATCAACCATATCTATAAAAAAACATATAATTTCGTCGATATTAATTTTTATATTTCTTCTCTTCTTTCTTCAATCCTCAAAAAAAAAACAAAAAACTCAGAAAGAAGAGAGAGAGACCAACGACGACTCTGCAAATATGGCTGATGAATCTCCAAAGTCTATCTACGACTTCACCGTCAAGGTTTTCTTTTTCTCTCTTCATCTTTTCTAGTTATTTGGTATCATGTGTTTAATCTTTAGATTAATCTTAGCAAATTAGTTCATGTAAACAAAACAAGAACATCTTATATTGATTATGATATAAAGCTGGAATTTTCAATGTTCGATTGATCTCAAGCATGATTTTTAAGACAAGATTTCTGTGTTTATTATATATATATGTTTCTTGAACATCGCAGGACATCGGAGGTAACGATGTGAGTTTGGACCAATACAAAGGCAAAACTCTTCTGATTGTAAATGTTGCTTCCAAATGGTAAAAACTTTTTTTTCACTATTTATTATTAAAAGTCACTATGATTTACTTACTTTTACAAGATCTTGTGAAATTAGTAATTGTTAATACTGGTTAAGATTAGGAGTACCAGTAGTCCTTGTTGTTGTAATCACAGTTTTTGTTTTGTTTTGTTTACCACAATATAAACAAGTAGTCAACCGTAGTAAAAACAGATTAACTTAAAGTCAAAACTAAAGTTTTGTTATTACCACAGTGGTCTAACAGATGCGAACTACAAGGAACTGAACGTTCTGTACGAGAAATACAAGGAGCAAGGTCTGTGACTCTCACACACAATTAAGCCAACCTGGTTTTAGTTAGGATTCTAATTAATTGTGATTATAAACTAGTTACATGTGAAACTTAATTTAATAGGGTTGGAGATATTGGCATTCCCGTGTAACCAGTTCTTGGGACAAGAACCAGGGAACAATGAAGAGATTCAACAAACTGTTTGCACCAGGTTCAAAGCTGAATTCCCAATCTTTGACAAGGTAATTAACTACAAACTTCATCGTATTTGAACCCCGAACATATGGTGACACTGTAGCGGTATTGGTACAAACCATTACATATATACCCTGGTCTCTGTTGCAATCAATCTGGACAAATAGTGTTCTAATTTCAAGTTAATCATTGTTCACTAAGTTTAAGTTACTCTTTGCAAAAGTAATAGGTGTTAAAATGCATTTGGAACAAAATGATATTTATGTCGTGAGTTTTTTTATGTACACACTTCACCGATTGCTATAAATAAAGATTACTGTTTTACTTTTTGTCACATTATAAGAGTTTTGTGGTAATGAATGTTGACGGACAATGTAGGTGGATGTGAACGGGAAGAACACGGCGCCGCTATACAAATACTTGAAAGCAGAGAAAGGAGGTTTGCTCATTGACGCCATCAAATGGAACTTCACCAAGTTCTTGGTTTCTCCTGACGGCAAGGTCTCCCAGAGATATGCTCCCAGAACCTCTCCTCTTCAATTCGAGGTAGCCACTCCGGTTCTCTCCTAAACCGAAATGTCTTTATATCCATCCATCCATACACAACCATCTAATGAGGTTTTGTTTTTTTTGGATTTATGCAGAAAGACATTCAAACTATGTTGGGACAGGCTCCTTCTTCTTGATCATTCGGAAGAAGTTTCAAGAACTTTCGTTTCGTCCAAGCGATCTTAGATTGATCAATATTTCAAACTTTATTCTCTCTGAATCTGTCATTTATGTGTTTAAATAACTGATGTCTTCGATGTTATATCATGTGACTCTCGTTTTAAGCTCAAACTTAAAAAGTTGATTGATAAATCACATTGGGCCATAAGACAGTTGTATACGTAACAAACAACACGTGAAAGATTTCTCCCTATCGTACACGACACGTTAAGCGTGTTCACAACTTACGACCACATAAAAGTTTCAGATTCTTTCCTAGCCATGGGAAAAAAGAAAAGAATCACAAGTAAAAAACATAATTACAAAGGTCATGTGCTTTCTTTTTTGACATCTTGTGATTCAAGTAATGTCATCATAAACAGAGCCTGATTAGTAACAAAGACAGAACAAGATCTCATGAAACATTAACTCTCGACAGACAACAGTTAAATTAGTTACCTCAGCCAAAAGCAGAGTTCTTCTAAAAAAACAATTGGAGATTTGATTTATGTCTCTAGATCTCATCACTGCATATGAGCACAAGAACCTTAATTCAGATGTCAGATGTTAAAGCAACCACATTGCACTCAAACAAAAACATTCAGGGGGAAACTGTACGTAGACAAAGAATTTGAAGTTTTTATTTACTGACAACGTTTATTTCCAAATCTTTAAAATCATTGAGACCAAGAACACTAGTAATACACATACATATATAGAACTATAGAAGTAGAACTAATGTAAAAGCCAAACCAGTTTTATCCATGGACCCATTTGTAGGTCTATTCTCAGCTAACAATGGCAGAAAACTTCATTCCAGCAAAAAAAGGTCCTTTTTATGGTTCAACCATTTTGTTCAGCTGCACAACCGTACGGTGCAAGCTACAGTTTGTGCCCAGTATTTGAGTCTAGCTTTTACATCATCTGGATTATCACCTGCCATCAAAAAAATTGCAAAACAATCAGACATTCAAAATCAAGAAAATGTTCTTCATCATCATCACAAGATGCATCGAATTCAATACCAAAAAATCTAACCAAGATTGAGAGATTTACCAGGGCTAGAGATCTTCCAATTAGCAATTGGAGTACTGGTCGGTGGTGGCGGCGAATCTTCTTCATCCGGCGATTTCTGGTGGATTTGTTTATCATCTAAGAACTTTTGGCTCATGGAGTAACAAAGCTCTAACGCAGGCAAAGTGTTGCAAAGCTCAGGGATCTCATCGTAGCTAAAACCAAAGCCAAGATCCAAACAACCTTTAAGCTCCTCAAGATCATCATCCGTCAAGCTCTTGGCTCTAGTCAAATCATCTTGATCATCCAACGCGTATCCCTCAAGCAACACTTGGCTCCTCTTCTTCTCAAGCTTCTTCCTAGTCTCTCCGGAAAAGTAACCTCCTCCTCTTCTTCCACCGCCGCCAGAGTTTCCAATCGCGTCCCACGCTTCCTGGATCCCTCCGTCGTATTCGTGCTCTGGTAAGACTATGTTCGATGCAACATGATGATCAGAAGCACTTATTGGTTTGTTTTCTTGGAGAGAGTGCTCATGCGTCCGTGGATCTGATGATGAGTCGAAGTGATGAGAACAAGACATTTCTTGTAAAATGTTTGTGTTATCGTAATTGAATGGTGGGTGATATGTGAGATGAGGAGAGAGAGATCAGACTACTGTGTATATATAAAGAGAGAGAGAGATGGTTTCTTGAAAAAGCGGCGACGTAGAAGCATCAATTATTATTATTGTAGTATATGCCATCTTTTGTGGGGGCCATGCATAAACGAATCAATGATTCTATGAAAAATATGTGTTGGAGAAACATTTTTAGTTTTACCTATTGATTCCTCAAACTTTATAAATTAATAGTCGGTTGCCCGCGCTACGCGCGGGAGTTTATTATGTTGTTTATGAGTAATTATTTCGTATTTTATTTTCTACTTATGTTTTTCACTATACCATACTTTACTTTTTTAAAACTTAAATTGTGTTTATATAGAAAAACTATTGAGTTTTAGCTTTATTAGTTGTTGAGAAATTAAGTGTGTATAGTATAAGTCGAAGTGTTGGCGTAAATGAAAGTGCGGTTGAAAATCATTGAGAAACGTGTGCTATTAGGGTTTTTACCAAATATTGACCTAGATGTTAATATTTTGGACCTTTTTATATGTTGGCATGAAATTTGAACATGATTTATGGGTTTCGGGCGGATTGTTATATTTTTAATTTTTTACATTATCTCTTTAGATATTTTCATAATTTATTATTATTTTTTATGTTTTTCTTTTTTGGATTTGTCGTACTTTATATCTCGTAATGATCATTTATATACTATTATATTTTTTTCTGATTTTATGTTTTATAATTTTTTTTTGGTTTTTCATATGGAACAATTTTCGAATTTATAATATTAGCATAATTTACTTTATATTTAGTTTATTTCATTTAATAATGTTTTTTATTTTAATTTTCAATTTTATGAAATATTGTTAATTTTTTATTTTGTTTATTAGTTTAACATATGTGTTGTATTGGAAAAAAATAGTTAAATTCATATTGGAAACTTTTAAAGAAATGTTATTTTTATTTTTACCTTTTTATATGTTTATAAAAAATGAGAATTCATGTTTCTGTCCGACCTATCTCATTTATGTTAGAAAATATTTTGAGACATAAATTAGATAGATTTATATTCTCAAAATTTCTTACTTTTGCTCTATTCCCGTTAAATCTTATTATATTTAGGTTTACATTGTGTAAATATAATCATATATATATTTTAAACATTTACTAAAAATTATAATCTATTATTTATATATTTGTTAGTATAATCGATAATTAGTAAGTGTTTTTAACTTTTAATCAATTATCTTTTTTTAGTTTTATAATGTATAATATAAAAAAAGACATTTCATATTCATTTTTGAAAAACTTATTTACATATGTTTAAATATTAAAATTTAATGATAAAATGATAAATTAATTTTAAAAATTAAAGAATAAAATGAGGTGGATGATGATGTGGCTTAAGGAGAAAAGAGAAAAAGTTAACTTTATATATATAGATTATATAAATATTTCGACATTGGCTTAGGCCGCATCCATTACAATAAAGTTAAAAATACAAGGAATTAGTAGTTTTTGCAAATCAAGAATTAATATAATAATTATTAACTTATTGTACTTTATGACACGAATTTTAAAAAGCAATTAAGTGGATAAATATGCGTTATAGTTAGCAAAAGAGAATATGATTTATATACGAAAATAAAAAAGGACTTCAACATTTGGAAACTTGAGATCATTTTAGATATACGATTTGAGGAAACGTGTATGATTCCAAGTTACCGCCGAGAAGCTATATATTGTCGAAACAAAATCACATTCCCACTGGAAGTCGAGATGACCTGCCAACTGGGAAGCATTTTTAGTTAGGAGATATATCGATACAATGTCATGATCATACTATTATGAACGTAAAAACACTTAATTCATAAGTCGGATGTATTTATATTCATCACCATGCATGTCTTTACCTAATTAATTACCTTCATCAACATCATGTGAAGGATAATATATAAGAACTTCAAGAGATAAAAGTAACAAGCCTAAATAGAGCTATAAAGAGATGCTTAATTCTAAACACCTAGTCAGAGCCTTGTTCCAATTAAAACCCGTAAGTATTCTTAGGATTTTAGTCGTTAAGCATATTACCAAATACCAATATATACATAAAATTACATATCCTAATCATACCAATTACGAATGACCATCACCACAGTCAGTAAATTGTACACATGGAAGAAAAAAATCACAGTGAGTGATGATGTCATGGACAGGAGAAGCATGAGGACATATGAATTATGCACTACGTACAGTGTCTATATATATTCATGACCAATATAGATGTAAAATTTGTTGTGCTACTGTCATTGCTTCCTATTGCATGTTGTTGATATATATATAAAAAAGTGTCCATATATTAGTTACATTACTTTATTTATTTATGGCCTCTGAGTTGTCGTTTTTTTCATATATTTTTCTTAATGGAATGAAATCTCATCATCATCTTCACAAATTAAAATTAATATTTATTTAGAAGGAAAAAAATCAAAGCTCTTTATAATTTTATCCATTTGTTACTCATTTTTAAGAAAAACAAACTCACAAAAGCCAGCAAACTAAGGTCCAAATAAACCAATAGTCACCTTATTATAAATATCATCACCAAACAACACATTTCTTCAAATCCACTAAGAACAAAACAAAAAAAAAACATTTAAATAAAAAATGTCAACTTCTAAAACCATACTCTTCACTCTCTTCATCGTAACAACAGTACTACAACATGCATCCTGCAACGCAACCGCAAACGCCACAACGAAACCGCTCTTCCCTGCGATTCTAATCTTTGGCGATTCAACCGTCGACACAGGCAACAACGACTACCCTTTACAAACAATCTTCAGAGCTAAACATGTTCCTTACGGCATGGATCTTCCGGACAGGAAACCGACCGGAAGATTCTCAAACGGAAAAATCATCTCGGACATAATCGCAACCAAACTCAACATCAAACAGTTTGTTCCTCCTTTCTTACAACCAGATCTCTCCGACCAAGACATTCTAACCGGAGTCTGTTTCGCATCAGCAGGTGCCGGTTACGACGAAGAAACCAGTCTCTCCACACAAGCCATCCCTGTCTCGGAACAACCAAACATGTTCAAGAGTTACATTGTTCGTCTCAAAGGTATCGTGGGAGACAAGAAAGCTATGGAGATTATAAACAATGCTTTCGTACTTGTGAGTGCAGGAGCTAACGATTTCATCTTGAACTACTACGATATTCCCACGAGGAGTCTCGAGTTTCCTCTCATTTCTAGTTACCAAGACTTTGTTCTTCAGAGGCTTGAAAACTTCGTGCGGGTAACGTCTATTTCCTCATACAATATTAGTCACCACAATTAGGGTTTAGGAGCAGACTTCAAACTTGCTTGTGATCATTTGTCTTGTTAATATCTCTGGTTACTGTGCAGGAGATTTACAGTCTAGGTTGCCGGAATATTATGGTTGGAGGTCTACCGCCAATAGGGTGTTTACCGTTCCAAATGACTGCTAAATTCCACAACATTTTTAGATTCTGTCTCGAACAAGAGAACAGAGACTCTGTTTTATACAATCGGAAACTTGAGAAGCTCTTGCCCCAGATCGAAGCATCTCTCACCGGAAGCAGAATCTTTTACGCCAATATCTATGACCCAGCGATGGAGATGATCCAAAACCCTGACAAATTCGGTACATATCTAAAATATATTTTCTTGTCCCACAAGTTATTTTGTGACTAGGGAGTGAATATCATTCGTGTGTGTGTTATTTTTAAAAACAGGGTTTAAAGAGACGAAGAGAGGATGTTGTGGAACAGGGTTCTTGGAGACAAGCTTCATGTGTAATGCTTTATCTCCGACATGCCAGAATCGGTCGGAGTTTTTGTTCTTTGACTCGATCCATCCATCGGAAGCTACCTATAATATCATGGGCAATGTTCTGGATCCTCAGATTCGTAGGAAATTTCAGGCTTAAGTCATCATAATGTTATATGTTTCTTAATTGCGACAATTTGTGGTCTTGGTTATATCAATCAAAATACATATGAACGTTAAACTATAGCTGAATCTGCCGCAACTAAATTAGTTGACAAACAAAGAAAAATAAAATCAGTTGAGTTAAATTATAAGATGACTACCAAGCATTTTTAGTCATGATACCATGAACGTAAAAACACTTAAGTCGGATTTTTGTATTCACCCTGAAACAATTTGTGGGATTTTTGTAGTCACTATTGCCTTAACTTCCACTCTCCATAACATATCTCAAAACACCATAGCAAGCATTATACAACACAGAAACGTTGCAAGATTAACATCAAGCTTCGACTGAGAAATGAGAGCATCAATTATCGAGTCTAATCTTGTTCACTTTTATGTCACAATTTGAGAGTCTAATCTTACAAAGGTTTGAATCGAGTTTGACTATTTTCCTGCATAATCTTTCCGGAAATGTTTGGTAGATTCTAAAAGATAGATACTTGGCACTTTGTGTCTCTGAATCTTCTAAGATTATGATGGTAGTGTGTTAGGTTCTTAATACAAATCATCTAATTCCTAATCTAAACAAACGAGTAACAAAAACTCTAAGCCACAATAATATATCTATATAATCTCTTTTCTTTCTCGAATCTCATCATACACCATATCTCTTCAACGCTTTGCTTAAACTCGGCATTACATTGTAGGCATGGTAAGATCTTCTAAGTTCAATGATGGAACCAACCTAAACACAACCAATAGAGATTATCAACATAACACAATCAGTATTGTTGAATTGAACGATATAGAAACATGGATCGAGCACTTACAATGATCAAAACCGATGTAAATCCAATAGAAAAGCCTTGATTGATGCTGCGTAGATAGTGATCAAGTACACTAGAAGCTGTTGCCAAAAAGCTCAACAGAAGCCCACCTGAACCAAACCAAATAAACTAGTTTTAAGAGATTTTACTTACACTATGGCCGCAATAAGTCTAAAACAGGACAATTTAACTTACCCCAAAACCTAGTTGATGCTTGTATCTTCGTTAAGTACTCAATTGTGGCTTTCCCAGGCTTTATGTTGGGTATTCGCGCTCCCATTTTGTTTAAATAATCGGCTATTTCCTTTGGCAAGTTGGCCTATATAACAACATAAGAAACCGGTATATGAATTGTTTAATGTTCACTGGAAGATTGAAATTCAGACTGAAAAGGTGTAATTAATTACTCACAATGTCAAAGATGTTGAAGAGAAAGACAAAAAACGCATATATTGAGTAATAGACCCAAGGCGGTGCTCCAACCGTGCTTTCAGGGTTTAATATCTCCTTCATGTTTACCAAGAAAGGTGAACCCAGAATACTAAAAACATAAATTACCTTATTAGACAGCCTTAGACGGTAACAACAACACAAAGATGCAAGAAACAAGATTGATTTAAGCCTAAAGGGTCCTTCAAAGGATTTACCTTGCAAGAATACCGGGAAAAGCCAAGAGATATGTGGTTGTGAGGACAGGCTGCATTCCTGCTGGGTTAATGTTAAAAGGTATGTATGGTTCCACTTCAGTTATTGGAGAACCTTCTCTGCCCAAATGGCAAAACATAACATAAAATCAAATATGAGTAGACCACATGTTGCATCTGAATGTATATTAACCCTTGTCTAGTCCTAGAATTGCAATATACAAGAATCCTTTCCACAAAATACTGATGATGAGCTATGTATTACCTCGAAGCAGACGCAAGTTTAAAACCATAATATTGTAGTTTTATCTTCCTGCAGCCCTCAGTAACAACAACAGCAAACATAGTTACTACTGTAAAAATGCCCAGCAAGCCTAACAAGTAAGGCAACCAATTCGAGAAACTTCCTGCAATAACAAAAAAAGAATGACTCTCCCCTGTTATACATAAATTGAAAAGAGAGGGCAATGATAAATGCTTCCAGGCAATGTGGAAGATATGCAGGTCTAAGGGACTTAACCATAAGTTTGAGAAATGTGGAGTAAGAAAAACCAAAGGCACCTGAGATTTGATTGAGCATCTTGTGTAAGGTCTCTGTGTATCCCGTCAATATTCCCACACAAATAATTAGAGATGATCCATGACCTGTAAAATGCATAGAAACAGGTTATGAGCAAGTTCCAATAATTACTCCATTTCAGCATCACTATAAGCTATCAACGGTTAAAGAGATAGAGAGCGAGAGAGAATCACATACCAAATCCAGATTCTGATATTGTATCACACAGCCACGTCATCGTCATTGCACCACAGACTAGCAGAGATGCTGTCATCATTACATGCTTGACCCTGAATAAGCATGTATTCTTCCATTAGCATCATCAGTTGTAGCAAAATGGATGAGAAAACTTAAAAACAACACTTTTGTTACTCCGAATGAATAATCCTAATTAACTTACTGGGAAGTGGCTGCGAAAACTGAATATTGAAGAGAAGTGTAAGCCACCACTAAAGCTTCCACTATAGCGAAGAAAAAGGATAGCCACCATCTACAAAATAGACGGAAAAACACGATTTAGTAACTTTGTTTAATGAAAAGTCAGAAAAGCTAAAACAAGGTAACTGCATGTTAAGAATTCATCTCACGGCTTGAGAGGTAAGAAACTAAACACACATATAACTCTTGATCTTCTCGTGACCATCTAAGCCTTCCTTTCGTAGCTTCACCAAAGATGGAAGAACGTGACAAAGCACCTAGTGTTTCATGATCACCTTATCATCAATCATAATCTTAATATATAAAGAACCCACAGATTCAGGCAAACACATCAGATTAAAGGGAAATTTAACCTGCATAATTATGGATGCTATTATTTGTGGACTGAGCCCAAGCTGAAAGAGTGAAAGCTTGATCTCTGCTCCAAACTCACCCAGCTCCTCTATCAAAAACATAAAATGTTAGCTACAAACGTGTTATGTGTCATCCAAACAAAGGATTATAGGACTCAAATGACATTAGAACACACTCACCAACAGAACCCGAGACAAAGCTAAGATAATCTTGGGGTATTAATCTTCTGTCAAACCCAGGTAAAGGGATAAAATATCCAACACGACTAAGAACAAGCAGTAGAGCTGTTACGAACAACCTCCTCCTTATCTCGCTCTTAAAGAACCTTTCTGCTGCGCTATTGAGAACTGAACTAATGCGAACAAAATCAAGAAACCTATTTCTAAAAAACGTTGGCCTAATATCCTGTAGTGTTTTGGAGACACTGTCCTGTGAATCTGGAGGAATAATCTCCACATCCAAAGCATCGGTATCGCTGCTAACGGATTCATTTCTAAGCTTATCAGAATAATTCACTGAAAAACTCTTCCTTTCTTTTATGAGGAGGTGTCTTCTGTTCATCTGCATAACATGGCTCTCTCTCGTGCTTGACAAATTCAAATTCATGGTAAGACATTTCCTGGACTGAAAAGGTTGACAACAAAGAACTGGGTCTCCTGCAAAAACATCAAAGCAATTGTTCCTGTTTATTTTGAGAAAATTTAGCAAATTGCAGGGTTAAGAGAACTAATCCAAGAGGATAGTATCAGTTGGAAAGTAATGAACTTTATAGCAGTAGCAGAAAACCCAGGTCGAAATTAGGGTTCCATGAACTCGAAGCAACGAGACTTTTAACCATTTGTATTTGCATACCGACTAGTCTAGGTAAGTAACAATCTCTTTGCTTTTGATTCCGAAGTACTTAATCATCTTGAGGAAGAAAAAACTTACGTTTGGAGACGAAAGCATAGGAGGGATGCGAAAGGGAGATTGGTCTAAGAGGCACATGGAAGAAGTAAGCTTGAGAGGTGTTCATCGAGAGGATGAGAGACAAAAACGCGGCGCAGAGCCAATGAAGAACAACATCGCCTTTCAATAGTGTTCACTGTTATACTCTCTTTACCATCCTTTTTTTTAATTAAAAAATAATAATTAATCTTTGTTTAAAAATTATATAGTTTTTAAATAATTTATTTTATATGTTTTTTTTGGGGCAATATTTTCTTTAATATGTTTTGATCACATGTATATAGGAAAATTTGTGATTACTTTCTCCAAGAAGTAAAGAAAAAAAAAAGTAATTTTCCAAAATCATTTTCCATAAGTTGAGAGAAATGGTAGATTTTTTTACATTTTTTTTTGGTTAGCTATAATGGAAAAAGTAAAAAATAAATGTGAAGTGATATAAGTCTACACTCTATTCCAGTAATCACAAACCCAACCGATCCAGTCTCTTTAGATTCCTCTTCTTCATCACACCGCTTATAAAAAAAAAGAGTTGGACAGTTTGGTCCTAATTTATTCTCATCAAACCTCAATTTTGCTTCTTCCCCACCTTCACTACTTCCCCACCCGACAAACCCTAGATTTGTAGGAAGAGGGGTTTCGTCTATTTCCTTGTAAATCTCGGTTCTTTTTGTGTCCTTTCGTATAATTTTGCTGATCATGGATTCTGAAGAAGATATGCTCGATGCCCACGATATGGAGTCTGGTGAGGACGATTTCTACAGCGGTGGAACTGATGATTACAACGATAGTGATGATGGTGAACCCGATTACGGGTTTGTTGAGGAAGACGCTGATGATTCTGCTATGATCGCCTCCCATCGCTCTCAGGTGGGGTTTTCGTTTTTTTTTTTTACTTGGTTGGTTCTTGAAGCTAAATTGCTTTTAGAACTTGTGCATGTTTTATGACTTGTCTATTGGCAAATGTTGAAATTTCGGAGCTTTTTATGATACAATTTTCAGTTTTTATTTGGGAGTTAAGAGTCTAATTGAGATTATTCTTCGTTGATTGCTTTTACTTGATTGCTGGAGGACTATGGCTGTTAAAGTATGGGATTTGTTGTCGGTTTGAGATTGTTTGTGTTTTATCATTTCTTCTTATTTGTTGATGGGTAGTGTTTAGCTAATCAAATGATAGTTGTAGACCTTTTTTGCATTTTGAATGCCATGCATAGTCTTCTGCGTGATGTGAGGGCTGAAGAAAGGAACTCTGTTTTGTTTATGGAACCACATTGATATTGATGGGGTTTTTTGGTGAATTGATGCGGAATTATGTGAAAAAATGTATTGAAATTTACAGGAAATGCTACGATTTAGTTGGTTTTTATTTACCCTTGTTTTATTTAGATGGTTCTTATAGAGAGTTTGTCTTTCATTTACCCTTGGTAAACCCTTTGTGTTTCCGTCCCCATTACTTCCACTGTACTTGGTAAAAGCATAACTGCAATTGTTATATCTATTGGTAAGATTTTCTCTTATGTGTATCAATGTATGATGCTCTTTGGTTCGCTAGGTTTATTTGTGGTATCGATGCTAGTTGAAAGAACTGAGTTTGTTGCTAGTAGCACTCGCTAAATGTTGTATTCCTAGTTGCTTCGGTAAATTGTTCAGTGCACTCCACTCCTTGGATATAGTTTTTTTTTCTCTCTTTCTAAACGTGTTCCGCTATGTGTACTATGGAATTTCTCGCTGCTGTTTTAGTTCCATTTCTTCTTTTGTTTTTTCTGTGAACATTGACTCATTATAACTGTAATGTTACTTCTTTCCAGAAAAACTTTTGTGTTCTGAAGGAAGAAGATATTCGCAGGCACCAGGTGGATGATATTGAACGAGTTTCTGTTGTTCTTTCGATTACTGAGGTCGAAGCGAGTATTCTGCTTCGTCACTTCCACTGGTAAATGCTTTTATATTTACTCTTTGATACTAACACTTGTGTGTTTCTCTTTTTTTTTTTTGTATATATATGATTCCTTGTTTATCTCATTTTTTTGGGGTTATACTATCAAATTGTCTCACTAGCGTTTCTAGAAAGTATATCCATGGTCATACTTGCGTGATTATTCTAACTTCCTGATGCAATGAGAAACATCTCATTTCAGGAGTGTCGGAAGAGTTCATGATGAATGGTTTGCGGATGAAGAGAGAGTTCGGAAGGCTGTTGGAATATTGGAGGGCCCTGTTGTTCCACCAACTGATGACAGTGAAGTATGTTCTTTGAATTGTATAATTTGAGTGGTTTTACATGTTTCTTGTCTGACAGTTCATGTCTCACTAACATGTGATGTTGTGTTTAGCTTACATGTGGAATCTGTTTCGATTCATACCCTCCTGAGAAAATCGCCACAGTTTCTTGTGGCCATCCTTTCTGCACTACATGCTGGACAGGTCAGTTGTGTTTTGTTTGTTTTGTCATTGGAAACCATTTCGTTTTCCTTGTATTTACCTGATATTAGGTCCAGTTAATTGTATGTAGTATGGTAGTTATAACTAGGGAGTTTCCTTCCCATCTAATTGTTAAGTACAAAAGCCCCCATCTTTGAGTTTTCTGGAACCAACTTGTGTACCCCATTTTCTACTAAATTTTGTTCAGTGGTAATATACGGTTTACGGTGTATGCTTATGCAGGTTATATCAGCACAACCATTAATGATGGCCCAGGATGTTTGATGCTAAGATGTCCTGACCCATCTTGCCTTGCTGCTGTTGGTCATGATATGGTTGACAAATTAGCGTCTGAAGAAGACAAGGAGAAATACAATAGATATTTTCTTAGGTCTTATATTGAAGACAACAGAAAGGTAACCGCTCCCTAGAAAATTTATATCACACAGACTGGTATTAATGTTGCAGGCTCTTCTATTGACATATCATATCATTCTTACTTACAACATTTGACCCTCCTGCCTATTTTTCCTATGATTGACACTTTTTTTGGATTGATGCGTATTGGGTTATGTCTGTTGAGCATCTTGAAGTTTTTTTCATCTCTATTTTTGTGGCATGTTACTAGTGTTGTTTGAAGATTCTGTTCTTTTCATGATTACATATTTTTTAAATATTCTTAAAACCTTCAATGTCTTTGCTTTGAGCAAAGTAGCAAACTATATTAGTCTCTCTCTATATTTTTTCGTTATGACGCGAGTTTCTAATCCTTGTGTTGCTACTGCTTTGGTATATTTGGTTCAGATGAAGTGGTGTCCTGCCCCGGGATGTGATCATGCGATTGATTTTGCTGCAGGGTCTGGCAATTATGATGTTTCTTGCTTTTGCTCGTTTAGCTTTTGCTGGAATGTAAGTTTTTGAGTCAAAGACCATTGATTTTATATCTCCTAATTATTTTAATGTTGATCAATAACCCTGTGGGAAATATGAAATGTAGTGCACTGAGGAGGCTCACCGACCTGTGGATTGTAGCACAGTTTCAAAATGGATATTAAAGAACAGCGCTGAATCTGAAAATATGAATTGGTATGCAGTCTATCTATATCTTCTTTTTTATTTGCGTTCCTGATCCCTGATCCTCTGAGCATTTTGAGCTCACTTATATTTCTTTGTAATCAAACTCTGCCTCCTTATGATCAGGATACTTGCCAACTCAAAACCTTGTCCGAGATGTAAGCGGCCAATTGAAAAGAATCAGGGCTGTATGCACATGACATGTACACCGCCTTGTAAATATGAATTTTGTTGGTATTGCTTGAACCCCATCTCTAATGTCTTATTTTGGTTGAAACTGTATTTCTGCAATGCTGTATTAGAAGTGTGGTCGGTTCAGTTATAATAGTGGTGCTATATATTTACACTTATAGGCTTTGTCTTGGTGCATGGATGGATCATGGGGAAAGAACTGGTGGGTTTTATGCTTGTAACCGATACGAGGTAGCCAAGCAAGAAGGACAGGTAAGACCTCGGGTATTTATTTGATCTTTGGTGGTATTTCTTATTAGGAATCTGTGATAATGTTCATGAGTGTTGATATGGGTTCATCGTTGCCTGTTAGTATGATGAGACTGAACGGAGGAGAGAGATGGCCAAAAATTCACTAGAGAGATACACACATTACTATGAACGCTGGGCAAGCAATCAAACGGTATGCACAATTCTACACTTCTTTTGGCTTAGAAGGTGTCTTGGTCTTCATTATTGATTTATTTGTCTTGGATGATTTGGCAGTCGAGGCAAAAGGCTATGGCAGATCTACAGCAAGCGCAGACGCAGAATGTAAGACTTGTTATGTTCTTTATAATTTTGCTTCTTTCTGAATTTCTTTATCTCAGTGAGATAGTAGTCTTCATCCTTGAAATGAATATCGATATAACTTTTCCTAAGCTGAGTAATCCCCTTGAGTTTTTATTATTTGCAACATACACAAATCTTTCCTGGTCTTAAAACCAATACGCATTGTTGTTCTGCTTTTCGAGTTTTCTGTGTCTGTTTATAAATCATTGGCATACAATGAAACTATTTTGTTTCCATGGGAGGGAGGTTCTGTTTGTAGATAATATTTTGAGAAGTAAAACGTTTCGGCTGTTTCTCATACGCTGTTTTCTGTATTCACTCATTTCAATTTCTGCCAGCTTGAGAAGCTTAGTGATAAACAGTGCACACCAGAATCTCAGCTCAAATTCATTTTGGAAGCTTGGCTTCAGGTTAGCAGATTAAAGTATTTCAATAACGAAGTGAGACTTCTCCATAGCATTTTTCTAAATAGCTTCTCATGTGAAATTACTGTTGCAGATCATCGAATGTAGGCGAGTCTTAAAATGGACATATGCATATGGATATTACCTACCTGATCATGAACATGCCAAACGACAATTTTTCGAGTATTTGCAAGGTCAGAACCCTCTCTTTTTAATTCTGTGTCCATTTCTTCTTCAGAAGCAGCTTAAATTTTTGCATATTGTTCAGGGGAAGCTGAGTCTGGTTTGGAGAGGCTCCATCAGTGTGTAGAGAAGGACTTGGGTCAGTTTCTCAGTGCGGAAGGCCCATCAAAAGATTTCAATGATTTCCGGACCAAATTAGCTGGTTTGACCAGGTAAGCGTTATTGTCTTTATACATCTATCCTGTTGTGACAGAGAAGAAGAAAGTGTGTCAGGCTTTTAGACAGATCTAGGAATATAATTTGTGGCCAAACCCTACCTAAATGACGTAAATTCAAACAATACAAATTTTTAGCCTGTTAGGTCATGTGGTAGCTTTCTGAAGCAGCTCTCTGACCTAGTCTTTCAACACGCGATTCTTCTTATAAGTTCTGTTCATATGTTTCAGAAAGCTAAGCCTGTGCTTGTATATTTTTGTGTTCTTACAGCGTGACGAAAAACTACTTTGAGAATTTGGTGAAAGCTCTGGAAAACGGTCTTGCTGATGTAGACTCACATGCGGCTTGCAGCAGCAAATCAACAAGCTCTAAGTCAACAGGTTGCAGTAGCAAAACAAGAGGTAAAGGCAAAGGAAGTTCCAGAACTGGTGGCTCCAGCAGAAACCCAGATGATAACTTATAATTATGATGTTTCTCATGTCCTCGCCAAGGTACAAAACCCGAACTGATCTTATGCAATTGGGAGAATGCACACGATCAAAGAAAAGCCCAGACTACATGCACACAGTGGAAGTCTAATTCTTCTCTTATGCGTGTGTGCGGGTTTGGATTGTAGGGTTTGTGATATGTTTCCTATTTATGTATAGTGTAAAAGAATATGCATGTGATTGTCTCTACTACACACATTGTAACAAGACTTCCGTTGCCTGCTCTGCTATGGCAATCTCTGTGAAACCAAAATCCAGTGACCTTATGTGTCTGGGTTTGAAAGCAAAAAAGGAGTAAACGGTACTTGCTTTGTGTTTGGTTTTACAACATGACCATTCTATGTTTGTAATAGTAAATTCAAGTTACATCTCAAGAAAGTGTTTGACATTGAAACCTTTTGGTGTTAAAATTTGATACAAGAGTTTCTACTTGTGCACAGCTTGGAGAAAAATTACACTATCAGGTGAAATAATTGTTAATGCTACAACAACTTGATAAATTGAATGAATATGTCTAGGCTCTCTTTTTTTAAGTAAAAAAGATGAACACCGCAACTTTAAGCCCATTAAATCACACTAGTTTTATTCACTTGTAGCACCAAAAACAAACACATTAAGAGAATCAAAGAGATTTTTTCTTGTAAATTTTTGTCTCTTCTTTAGTTTCTTAGACCTGAGGGTTTATAGGTCTTGGAGACCTGAAGCTCCATTGATTTGTTCTTGGGAGCATCAAGTAGCTTAGCCTTCTTCCTTGCTATAGGGAATTCCATGGAATGTGATTTAGGACCATTGTCCCCAAAATCTTCTTTGAACATTTTGATGCTAAGGGCATTCAACAATGCCCTCGAGTACTGCCTCGACGCCATTTTCCAGTCCGTCCCTGATTTCATCATCGCCTTAAACTCATCAAAGCTTATCCGTCCATCCTGTCACCACAAAAATATGTTACATCGAGATAAAGTATGAAATACCAAGTTCAGCATCTAAACAAACAGTCTCAACTAAGTTTTGCTCTAATTATTTGTATTTACTTTGTTGAGGTCGACATCAAAGAAGATATCTTTGATCCACTGATCGCTACTCTGGCCTAGCTTATCATCCCAAAGAGCTTCCTTGAGCTCATCTAGCTCGATATATCCATTCCCGTTCTTGTCAAAATACTTGAATGCTTCCTGCAAATGCTCATCACATCCCATTCTCTTCAAATGTATCGACAGTGTCACAAACTCCTCACAGCTCAACATCCCATTTCCATCTGTGTCTGCTGCATCCATGAGCATCTTCACATCGCCATCAGGAACAACTTGTCCAATCTTCTTCAGCCCATCTCTTAGCTCCTCAAAAGTTAAGTGACCGTTCTTATCAGTGTCCATTGTTTGAAACATCTGTACTATGGCTGCTATCTCCTCGTTTGGTAGATTGTCTGCTACAATCTGAAGAATTTTTTGACAATTTTATAATTCGACTTGCATATCAGTAACAAATCTTATAGAGAAGAAAGTAAACTCATAAAATTTTGGGATATCAAGAAACATATATACCCTGAGGACTTTCTTCTTGAACCTGTTCATCAACAAGAATTGTTGAATCTTGGTCCTGACGTTATCTCCAAGATTCACATTTGGTGCTCTCTCTGCGTTCCGGATCCATGGATGTTCTGCAAAACATAGAGTTTTGGTCAAATGATGTTGTTTATTCGTCAATAATGAAACTTTATTGCCATACCAAGCACTTCTTGGACTGTGAGTCTGCTGTAAGGATTTGCGTCAAGCATGTTCTTCACGAGTTCCTTGGCCTCATGTGAGACTTTTGGCCACGGGTCTCTCTCGAAATCAATGTTCCCTCTCACAATAGCGTGCGCGATTCCTTCCTCGGTTTCTGCCCAAAAGGGAGGAACACCACAAAGCAAGATATAGAGTATAACACCGGCACTCCAAACATCGATCTCAGGACCGTAATTTCGTCTCAAAACCTCTGGAGCCATGTAGTAAGGACTTCCCACAATCTCATTGAACCGCTGGGCTGCAATATCCATTTGAGTCAAGTCGATTGTTTTCAAGAAAATGACATATAAAAAGATTCAAGTTGTCATAGGGATGTGAGCAATTAATACCAGGTTTGAAGAAAATGGAGAGACCAAAATCAATTGCTTTGAGTTGTGCAGTCTCAGTTCCATTCGAAAAGAGGAAGTTCTCGGGTTTAAGATCTCGATGAATCACTCCATGTTCATGACACACCTTCACAAACAACAAACATTAAGGACCAAACAAGACGGCGAAAAACCAACACAAAGGAAAAAAAAGAGATTGCAAATTTGTTTAATCACCTTGACAACTTCAAGAATGGTTTTAGCAACAGATGCAGCGGCGCGTTCAGTGTAATGCCCTCTAGAGACGATGCGGTCAAAAAGCTCACCTCCTTCACAAATCTCCATGACAAGGTAAACAGCGTCTTCGTCCTCAAAGGCTTCCTTAAAGCTAACAATATTTGGATGTTTTGGTAAACAACTCATGATCTCAACCTCTCTCCTCACGTCTTCCACATCTATCTCAGTCCTTAGCTTCTCCTTCGATATCCTCTTACACGCAAACCTGCATGCCAACAAGTAACACGAAAGTATCAAACCGAGAAGAAAGGTAATCAAAAATCAAAGTCAATATATGATATAAAAACAGAGAAAAAGACCTTTCTCGGGTAGTGATCTCGATACATTCATGAGTGACTCCGAATTCACCGCGGCCAAGTTCTTTGCCCAGTTCATACTTGAGGTGGATACCATCCCCAATAGGCTCGGGAAGAACGCGGCTAGGTGGCTGGAAAATCAATCTCCGGGAAAGATTAGTTGAAGAATCGAAATGAGGAACAGAGGATGATGTTCTGCTATTACTACTACTGTGTCGCCTTCTTACCGGTCTCTTTCCAAAAGGAGAGCCTTTCAATGGCGACGAGACACAGCTTCCCATGGGATTTATTTTGTCTTTTTGGGTTTATTAATTTGGAATAATAATCCTAACAGGTTTCGATCGATCAATTGGTTTATACCAATCGATCAAGCGATTTCAAGGAAGAAGTTTATTCAAATGCACCCCATGGGAAGGAAGAGAGAAGCTTTTTGTGCTCGAGAGTTCTTTCTTTCTCTTGTTCCTTTTTCTCTTTTGGGTTTTTGGTTTTTCTTTTCTTGTGGGAAAAGGCTTATCCCTTCTTCTAATCTCTTTTGTGTTTCGTTTTCTATTTGTTTATTTGTTGTCTACGTTCCAAAGGAAAGTCCTAAAAGAGAGGAGAGGAGATTCGAGAGGTGAAAACAAAACGAGAGATTGGATGGATTGGAGAAATCTTTCTATTTTTGGTTAAGACAGAGCAGAGCTCTTCTGTTCGTTTAGAGTCCGTTAACTTTGTTGCCCCTTGTCTCTGTTTCTTCCTCCCGCCATTTTTTCTTTCATCTATTTGTTTTTAGGGTTAACCTTATCAATCTCTTCAACGATCCATATATCAAAATTTTAGGATTTTAGTTTTGATACATTTTTTTTTGTAAAAATTAAATTAAAAAAATGTCATGTAATAAATTTTACCAAAAAAATGTATGTATCACATTCTACTATTCTAGTAAACCTCCTTAGAGGGTGTCAGGTAAGTCATTTCACAACAAATTAGTGCCATTCGCGTTAGGTGTTACGTGTGTTATCTTTTATATTTGAGTCAATTCATATACTTGAACTGGTGAATTTCACATTGACTAAGCCAGGACTCAAGAATGATAAAGACTTGGTTTCTAGTGAGGGAGTATTTTTGCTTCAAGTTATAGTACGTATGTTAAATGTGATCTCACAAGTTCAACTAACAGTGAGACTTTCTTTACTTCTTATGACTACTATACCTACTGACCTAAGTAACCCATATATGCCATTTAGACTCATATTCAAGTTCAAAGCTTTGCTTTCAGAATATCCACTTATCTTTTTTCGGACCTTCCTTTTTCATTGTTTTGGTTGGCTGTTTCATTTAGTTTTGTGCCTAGATCCAAAGAGTGTTCATCACTTACAAATGCTAAAATCCTGCACATGCTAAATCAACACATAATAAGTATGTCAAACTCAAGGGAAAACTCGAGTTTTATTATTTGCAAACAAGTGTAGTCATTACAACAAACTTTTCCAAAAAAGAAATTATATTCTTCAGATGTTGATTAAAATGTAAATCAAAAGCGGCTCTTAGCACCCTCATCTTGGAATTTCGCATTGCTGAGACTTATTGCAGAGAGTGTTCTAGCAAGCAACCTCAGAGGAACTTTCTGTGGGGTCTGCCTGCATCTTCATCTTGCATATGCTGTAAAAAAAAAACGAGTTTCAAGTATGTTAGACTGACCTTAGTGTTGTGATGGAGCACAAGAACTACATTATATATCACTCAATTGTGTGGGAAGTAACATATGAAATTCTATTAGAACTTCATCGTTTTATAGGAAATTTCTACCATGAAGGAAAGCTACAGAGCATCAATCACACAAACATGTCCCTTGCACGAATCTATATTCAATGACTCAGAGTTCAAAAACCAATATGGAGGAAGAATCCTCAAAATAAGTGTAGCAATGAACGCTGAGATAGAAAAAAACACTGAAATTCCACCACAGGGAAGTTCTCATGACCGAATCAGCTGAGATTAAAGCTCAGAATAATACAAAGACAAGCTAATAAACCATTTTCTACAGCCAAAGAACCAATTTTTACAAGCTAAAACACATCAAGACTTGAGGATAAGCATTGAAACACAACGTTTATAGCAGTTAAACCAGCTTTATCCCTAAACTACCTTGGCAAGAAGACCCAAGTGGAGAAAGTAATACGATTAATAAGAAGTAGGAGTAATAACAAGGATTAAACAAAAACAAAAACTCAATTTTTTCAGCCCTAACTCCAAATCAGAGGCTTAAGGCTTTCCTCAGTGCAAACACTATTCAAATAGAAAAACTAAATCTAATCATCATCTAAGAATACTAGTATGGAGGTCAAATGCATTCCCGAATCTAATATTTTCAACAGCATACCTGAACTAATTCAGATGTATCTACAGCGAATTCAACAGCTAAAACAAACAGGGGAAATCCCAATTAAAATGTGTATCATACGATCTAAATCCATAGGATAAATGAAAAATTAGGGCACAAAACAGATATCTAACTTCGGGAGTAATCGAATCGAACATCCAAATGCAAATTGAATCGAGAGAGATTTGAACTCACGAAATCTTTGACGATCCCCTTGTAGACAATGATAGGGAGAGCGATGCCGAAGATTCCGATAAGAGCGAAGTTGCGACGGGTCCAGCGGAAATTGTGCTCGAGGTTCTCCCTAGCGGATCCCCAATCCTCGATGAACTTGTTCTTGTTCGTTTCCATACCTCCACCCATCTTCGCTTTCTCGACGATTTGACCTTTCTCTCTCTCTCTCTCTCTTATCCGAGTCGTCTTCTTCTTCTTCTTCAAATGGTTTTAGTTCTGTCGCGACTGTGGTGGTTGTGTTCAGCGTAGGAGGAATTAGGATCGATCTTTAAACCGGTTTATCTCTAAACCAGAGATTTGAAATGAACTTCAAGGCCCATTGAGAAAAGGGCCCAAAATTACCTATAATAAACAACAATTGCTTTAGGGGTCTATTGTAACGCCCGTCTCCGGCTTTTCTAGGATGGTATCAGGGTACCTATTGTCGAGAGTATGCATAAGTTTATCGAAAGAATTGTCAATGGTCGAGAAAATATGGATGTGATCGAGGGTTGATCGATAAGGATCGATGGAAGCTGAAGGAAATCCGAATGTGCGGTGAGGAATGAAGTGTTGCTCGATTGGTTCGGACAAGATGGACTTTCGGACAGGTTTTGTCGAAAGATTATCTATTAGGCGGATTTATCGGACAGATGTTCGGTTCGGACAGTTTTGGTCGAAACTCTATAGACGGAATGTTAGTCCGTGGGCTTTCTATCGGCCCAAACTCGTTGGCCTGCGAGTGTTGGTGCGAATAAAAGATTTTAAGTCGAGTTTATCGTCTAAGTGTTGGGATACGCGAATATTCTCGAGATAATATCGGAGGATCGGCTGTTTACTCGAGAGTATAAAAGATGGCTCGATGGAACTAGGGTTTATCATCCGTTATCGTGCGTTTTGAGTGCCGCCAAGGAAGTGATCGAGAAAGAAGAGAAAAAGAGTGAGAGTTATCGAGAGTATTGTTATGATGATCGAGATCTTGTGTTCCTAGATCGAGATCGACGATTGAGGCGGATGACGGATCCGGTGGAAAGGTATTCCATCGTTTATGTTGGCGAAATGATTAAGTTACTGAGAATGGTGGTCTATGTTCGGGTACGTAACGAGAAGTATTGAGTGAGATCGAGTGAGGTCGAGAAAGTATCGAGTGAGATCGAGAAGTATTGAGTGAGATCGAGTGAGATCGAGAAGTATCGAGTGAGATCGGGAAGTATTGTGCGAGATCGAGTGAGATCGAGAAAGTATCGAGTGAGATCGAGCGATAGATGGATTGCATCGAGAGAAGGGATGAGTGATCGGTTATATGTTAGCAACGGATCGATGGATGAGTTCATTGATATGTTTTACCGATTATACTCGAGAGAGATTGATGGTTATCGACAGATCGTACGTCGGTGGCCGAAGGTCGACAATAGAGATCGTTAGATCGAGCTGTCGGACAATGTGTATGATCGGATGGTCGAGTTATCGTCAGTGCCATGCAAAACGCTGATGGTCCATTCGATTGATGATCGAAGTGTATGGGAAGGGATCGAAGATTGACGACCAAGAGTCGTACGAAGCAAGTGTCGGAGAAGAATGTCTGCGGCTGGACGGATCAAGTATTCCAGCCCATCTCTTATTGTTTACTCGGTCACTTGGGGATGGTTGGTTGTGTGACTAAGAAACAATAAGGGATGGTGAGTGATGAATGAAGGAGACGTGTTCGGTGATGCGAGAATCGAGTCATGAAGGCTGGATCATTAGCAAGGTCGATACGGATGGATGATGTGCGATTCAGAGACTCCGATTCTATAAGGTACACATGAAGGTAAATGTACTCCTAATGGTTATGTTATGGGTTTATTATGTTTATGAACTTGTTAAGTATGGTATTGGCATGTTTTTAAGTATGTTTTTGTTAAGTTGATTTCTCGCCGGAAGTCTCGTCGGAATGTTTTTCTCCGGTGATTTTTAGTTTCCGGGTTAGGGTGTTTCATCTATACTCTCTTTTTTTTTTTTGTCAAAGGGGGTCTATAGTCTCTATACAATACAATTCAAATGAATAATAGAAATTATTAAAATTTAGTTTATTTCTCACATTCTATTTTGCTTAATTTTCATAAAATCGTACACAAAATTTTTTTTGGGGAAAATATTATATGTTTGATTTTTTTTTATACATTGTTTTGTTATTTATGTCGTCTGGATCTCCGACAATAAGATAAATGGTGTTAAAGTCGAAGATCATATTGATAGTTTTTGAAATGGTAAGTTTTATCGTACAAATTTTATCTTGCATTCCGACCATTTGGATGGATTTATGCATTATTTCATGCATGGTAGATTTTTCTAGACTTGTTATATAGTCTTTTTTTTTTGTGTGTGCAAAGACTTGCTATATAGTCTTAAAGTTTGATTCTTTTTTTTTTCTCTCCCTAGACGACGTGAGTTCGCCCTAGCCGCCGAGAACTTTTTTCTGATCTTCGCTCACCCTCTCCGGTGGCCGGAGCTCATCGATGCTGCCGTGAGAGGGTCTCTTTTGTCTTTCGTTTTTAGCTGCTGGTTTTATCTCTGTTTTGGATTGATCTTGGTTGGTTTCGTGAAGAGGATCTCTCGGTCTAGCTTCTTCCTTGATGGCTAGATTTGTTTGTTTTAGCTTATTCGGTTAGTTGTAGTCTTTGCTGTTGCTATGAGACTTGATTCGACAGAAGCATTTCTGCTTTTGGGTAATAATTTAGATCTTAGCCCTACCTCTTAGTTAGATCCTCTTGCTTGTTCGTTAGTGAGTTTTGGACTAGGTTTGTTCTTGGTGTTTGCCTCTCTGATGGTAATTTGTTGCTATGCCACCTATTAGCCTCTCTCTTAGGTTCTAGTTTAGAGTTGAGTTTTGGGCGTAGCAGTGGATTCGATCTTTAGCTCTACTCTTGCGAGGAGGTCACAGTTTTAAGTCTATAGGTGGTTGAAACTGGTTCGACGAGTGTCCGCGTGTTAGAGTTGCTGATCTTCTTTGGCTTATCTCCATTCAATTTTCAAGGTGTCCCACTTTGTTCCTAGTGCTTCTTTCTCTTCTCGTTTGGCTGGTGAGGTATACTAGGTTGTATTTGTGTATCCGGTCGCGTTTGATTCATGCTTCCCTCTCTGTTGGTGTGCTACTAATTAGTCTTCGGTTTGAGGTCTTCCGGTCTTATTGGTGCTTCCGGCGTTTTCAGTTTCTATAGGAAAGTTTCATAGGAATCTCTCTTGCCTTTGCACAATTTTATGGTTTAGACTGTAATCTCTCCATAAAGTATGTTTGTTCTTTAAAATTTTGTTTCGATGTTGCTTTACTTTGCTTCCCTGTTCTTTGGGGTTATGATACCCTTTTTGGACTAATGTCTCCGGAGACGTTTTGTAGTCCGTCGGCATATGTATTTCAACTTGTATTTTCTTTTGGGTTTTAATAAAATTTCAGATGACAAAAAAAAAATAAGTCTTAAAATTTGAAGTTCTTGATAAAAAAAACTATGGGTGGTTTCTCACATAAATGCTTTTGTTTGTTTTTTGGTAATGCATTTCTTTTTTAATAATTAAAGATGACCAGATTTTGATTTTAAATATTATATTTGAATTACTATTTAAAAATAAGATACAGAATGTATCATAATACATTACTGCGCGCATAAGAGTCTGTTCGACTTCGGATTTGTGTCTCCTCGATTCAACAATTCTCACAGTCGGTTTCATGGATATATTTCGCCGTTCAATCTCAAAAGGTTCTTATTTGTTCTTTGTTCTGCTTTTGTTAGTCATTTTAATTCGAGTTCGATCGAGAAGCTTATTTGTTGACTCGTTCTCTAATCCACGGGATTAAAATAAAACACACTTAGTGCTTGGTGTGTCGGAATGATAGTTATTGATTTTTTAATGGCTACATCATTTGCATTACATCAAAAAATCAAGAATGTTAAATAGAGTTTTTTTTATTATCATAATATCAATCATCATCAAGTCGTTGACATTTTCAAGCTTTCTTATTCAGAGAATGAAATGACAAGAAATTGTCTTGTACTTTACCGTTTCTGGATTAATCTCTAGTCACACACGCAATTGTTGTTTATTATGTTGTTGATTGTTCTGCTTTTAAAGCAAACAAAAGCTTTGTATTTTTGTTGTTCTGAAGATTGTTGAAGGAGCAAAAACTGAAACTGCCATATATGACTTCTACAGGTGGTGGTGGGAAAGATGGATCGTCTAAAGGTTTTGTGAAGAGGGTTACATCAACTTTCTCCATTAGGAAAAAGAAGAACACAACGAATGATCCGAAACTACTTCTTCCTCGATCCAAATCAACTGGAGGTAACTATGAACACATGAGGCTGCCTCAGGGTCAGGGGAAAAAGGCTCTTCCAGATGTTACAACAACAAAAGACACTAAAAGGACCAAATCTGCAGGTGTTTCCCCTCAACCAAGGCGTGAAAAGATCGATGAATCATGCAAACAGTTTATGAAGATGAGATGTTTTGATGACAGTGACTCCATTTGGTTGTCTTCAGAATGTGCGTCTCCTACTTCTCTTTTAGAGGAACGTAGGTTGTCTGTCTCGTTTCATTTCTCAGTAGATGAAAAGATCGTCTCGTGGTTGTCCAGTGTGGCTAACTCTTCCCTGACTTTGAATCAAGAATCCACCAGCTCAACCAAAGAGACAAGTTCAAAGAACGCAAAATGTTCGTTTCAAAACATTCGAAAAGATGGAAAAGTTTGTAACTCAGCTGGGAAATCTCGTGGAAATGGTTCTGCAAAGCCGTCTTCGCGTTTACCAGAAAGCAGCAACAAGACTTGTCCTCAGAAACCATGTGAAGAGTCATCTAGTTCCAAAAGATGTGTGAGTCCTGAAGAAAAGAAAGTTAGCTTCTCAGTAGAAACAGAGAAGTCCCCTTTACTAGTTAACTCAACTTCCATGCCATCTACTAATACCACAGCAACATCATCTTTGGAGAAGAGTGCAGAGACTGGGGACTCAAAGAAAAAGATTGTTGTGGAGCCACTTTTCTGGCCATTTGAACAGAAGTTTGATTGGACACCAGAGGATATCTTAAAGCACTTCTCCATGTCTCCACGGAGAAAGAAGTCGCTAGGATCCAAGAGTGCAGGTACCTCTCCAAGATCAATGAGGGCACAACTCCAAACAAGAAAGCTAGATCTTAAAGAAGGGTGTAAGAGGAAGCTCATGTTCAATGGTCCTGGATCAAATTCAAAACCAACAAGGATTCCAGAACTGAAACGAACAATCAGCAACAACAGTAACACCAAGAAAAGCGAGATCAGCAAGACCGAACAACCTATAAGGAACAGTGTGAAGAGGAACAAAAGTTTGCCATCGAGGCTGAGGAAATCAAGTAAAATATCTTCAAGGGTGGTACCTATTGAAGCTACAGAAGATACTGGAGAGAATTTTAAAGAGCAGAAAACACCTAAGAAGCTCATCATGACACGCAAGTCCAGGACATTCTTGGAAGATGACTTTGCTTTGATGAATGATTTCTCTATAGAAAAGGCGGTCGGACTTTGCGAGTTCAAGGGAAGAGAAGGCATAGATTCAGACTTCAACACTGATGGTTTCTTGTTCGACGATTCTCTATGAAAAGAAAAGGCTGTACAGATTTGATAAGTACCTGAGGATATAGCATCATACGGCTTAATTAGTGTATACTTGCCAAACCAACATATGTATTGGCGACAATTTTGTTTCTGGATTGTATATGTTGGATACTAAATATAGGTAGTATTTATATGCATATAATGTACATGTGTTGGTCTGTTGGATCAATCAAAGAGCTGAAATATATGGTCTCGTTTGTTGGTTCTCATATTTGATAACATCCACTTAATCCCTTTTTGTGCCAAAGGATCCTTTTTCCAAGGAATACAGGGCGGCCAGGAAACATATAGAAGTTTGATATAAAAATAAGATGTTACAAAATATTCGATCTTGCAAGCAAATTCTTAAGTTTTGTTACATAATTCTCACGTCCTCTACATTCTACATAAGTTTTGCAAACATGTGAACCCGATTTTTCTTTTAAGGCTCCCATTCCTTGGATTTCAACTACTCCGATGGTTTTTTTCTCCAAACTGTATTATAAATTTTATATGAAAAATAGCTTCGGTCGCTCGTATGAATTCGATCTTTATGAATTAAGTAACAATGCTATATGTACAAAAAAGATAATTCTACCTACATATTGGGAAAAACAAAAAGAACACAAAGGTGAATTGCAAAAGGACAAGAAAAAAATACGCCAAACTCTTGTAGTTATTCTGGTCTACGAAGGTACTCTCAGGTCAAGTGCCGACGTGTGTGATAACTTTGAAGCTCCAGCAAAATATTGAGACAGAGATGAAAAGAGAGAAAATTTCGTACGTAGAGGTCAGTAGGTCATCTTACCCAAAAAAAACAGAGAGAAACCTCCGATATATGGGCCTTAATTTGGGCTTTATTATATTCCCATCTGACCCATAAAAATATTACATTTTTATTAGTGTTTTTATTTTTTTTGGGTGAATTTTTTATTAGTGTTTATGATCTAGTGCAAATGTCATACAAATATTCTCCAAGTATTAATCAATGATAGTGACGCTTTGTTGTTGTTTGTTCATCTAAGGTTAAAAAGCAATTCATATGCTTGATATTGATATTGAAACGTGATTGTTTCACATCTATATCACTTTTACATATCTTTTCTCTCTAGTAATGAGATAGGGTGGTTCAAAGATATATTTACTACACAAATTAATATGGCATCAAGATATATTTACTACACAAATTAATAGTCACGTCTAATAATCGAAAAGATTACAAACTACACAAAAACATATATTTAGTTATATATGATGATGAAAGCTTAAGAACCAAACTAGCATAAAGTCCTCAAACGCATGCATAATTTAATTTTGGCGTTCTCTACATGGTCGGTCTAGAAAGATTTATATGTACTGTATGTTCCTTATAATTATTTGGATAAATTATGAATTAATTACAAAAAATATTTATAGTATTTGCTTTGGATAAATTATGTATTAATTACCGGTTTATTTTCTTGTGTCTTGTATATTGGTTAGTCAGTTTATTTAGAACGAAAAAAAATATTTAGAACAAAAAAAAAAAACCAATTTTATTTTTTGCTTCTCTCTCGGTGAAATAGTGTGGCCTCAAAAATTAATAATTCTTATGAGTAATAATAACAAAGTTGCAAAGTACTTCTATGAGTCTCGTTAACGGAGCCGCTTCTTCAGCCCTTCTTCGCAACGCCGCTTGGTTTTATCGAATTCGAACCATGAATCGCCAAATTCACGGAGCTGTATCTTCTTCTAAACCCATCTCCTTGAAAACCCAACTACATCCTCTCTCTGATTCTAACTCAGGTTTCATTTCTCTCTCTCTCTCTCTCCATCTGTTCAAATTCCAAGGAAATTTTTGTGTTGTTGTTGTGCGTAAGTAACTAGTATGTTGCACCAGAACCCGCCAATGTAGTCTCTGAGACTCGAGTGTATTCCCGGAAAAAAAGGCTAAAGCAGGAACCTTTGGATCCTCTGGAGAAAACTCCCGGCAAAGTAAGTTTCCTCCTTTTTGCTCTATTTTTGAAGATGAAATTTCGGGTTTACAGTTTTGTATGATTGTGGGTTCTGGAGATTACACTTTTGGGTCTTACTTGATCTCAAGTGTGATACTTTAGTGGGAGTGAGTTTTACTTGGTTCTGATTTTGTCCCCATCATCCAAGTGTCTTTTAAGTTAGCCTATGGAAATGTTAGTGATCGTAGTGTTTTTGAATTTTGTTGTCCTTGGCTCTACTATGATCATGCTTCTGCAAATTAGAGGAAACCTTGTTTATTGTTTCCATGAACATTTTTGACCGTGTGTTAGTGTTTACTAGTACTATTTTAGAGTCTTATGTTTTGCTTAATGCAATGTCTTCATATTTAATGATGCAGCAACTATGTGGTTTACCCGATATAGAAGATTTTGCTTACAAAAAGAATATCGGATGTCCTTCATCTAGTAAGTCTCATTATAGATATATACACTCGGAACTTCACATTCCCAACCATTATATATTCAATCACCATGTAGAAAGAAAAAGCCAACTAACCTGACTACTTTCTAAACTAGTTGCATGATATGTACTTGTCATTGAATGTCTTTACAGATTTAATCTGTATAGAAGTTGGTAGGAGATATTCTATCATCAAGAAGATTCTTTAAACAGTTGAGAGAAACTCATTTTGTAGTTTTTGCAGGGAGGTCACCGGAAACTAGCATCACTGTGACTTCAGTCAAAACAGTAGGTATGTTATCATGCAACGAGTTCCTTAATGACAGAGGGTTGGTGCGGTTTTTACTTTACAGATTTCTTCACACACAGTAACTGGTTAGTTATAACCCAGGAAGTCCGCCTGAAAACTGGGTCAAAGTGCTTGTGGGTATTCGTCAAATGAGATCTTCTGAAGATGCACCAGTTGATTCTATGGGATGCGATAAGGCTGGAAGCTTTTTACCTCCTACGGTATAACTGTTCTCTTAATTTAATTTTTGTGCGTAAGTATGCTATGAGATACACTGAGTTTCTAGCTCTATGGGCTTGAGGTTTTTTGTTTTACTTTATATAGCACATTTGTCCTCAAGTCTTTTATAAATGTTGATGTACTTATCCCTAGTGAGTAGCTTAGAAAAGGATTCTTATTGTTTGTTCAAGAAAGCACCTTTTGTTCCCTTTGTTGTTTTCATATTTCAAGAGATTAAGAAAAGCTTGAAAGCAGTGGGATGGATTGTTCTTGTTTTAATATTGATCAGTTTTCTCCTACACCTAGGAAAGAAGATTTGCTGTCTTGCTAGGAGCACTTCTTTCAAGTCAGACAAAAGATCAAGTTAATAATGGTGAGTTTTTGCTGTTAAAGAAACAGCTGTTGCACTTCTCTAGTTTCCATTCAAATCATCTGCATTTACAAGTTTCATGGTTATATATGCATCCTCACTATTAGAAGCTTTCAACATGCAGCGGCAATACATCGTCTTCATCAAAACGGCCTCCTTACTCCCGAAGCCGTTGATAAAGCTGATGAATCAACCATAAGGGAATTGATCTATCCGGTATGTTATCCAAGTGTTGTCGTCTTACTTCTTCACATCATTGCCTCTGACATGAGCCTCTTTGTGTACTAATTTCTTTACCATTTTCACACAAAAAAAAAGGGAAATAAGGAAAGAAATATAAAAAGCTTTCCTTTACTTTCAGGTTGGATTCTATACAAGGAAGGCTACATATATGAAGAAAATAGCTAGAATTTGTCTAGTGAAATATAATGGAGACATTCCAAGCTCTTTGGACGACCTACTGTCTCTTCCAGGGATTGGTCCCAAGATGGCTCATCTGGTAAAAATCGACCATATTATTTACTTGTATCTTGTGAGTTAGATGAAATATTTTCAAAAAGCTACTCAAAGTTTTCTTCTGTTATCACATGGCAGATTCTGCATATAGCATGGAATGATGTCCAAGGTATATGTGTAGATACACATGTGCACCGCATTTGCAATCGACTTGGTTGGGTGTCTCGACCAGGAACCAAACAGGTACTTCGCAATTGGCTTAAATCAGAATTTTTATTGTGACAAACTGAGCAAATTGTCTTCTGTTTTCCTGTTCTTTGTCACACATACGTAATCTGTGATCTGCTAGAAAACTACATCTCCGGAGGAAACAAGAGTAGCTTTGCAACAATGGCTTCCAAAGGAAGAATGGGTCGCCATTAATCCGCTCTTGGTGCGTCATCCCTCACTATTTCTTCTACCATACAGATACACTCGAGACTATACAAATCAAATGAAACTATTGAATCATAACTTAACCGGCCTCCCCTTATGGACTCTTGTCTTGTCTGAAATTTTTTATAGGTGGGTTTTGGACAAATGATTTGCACACCGCTAAGACCTCGTTGTGAAGCCTGCAGCGTCACAAAACTTTGTCCTGCTGCATTCAAAGAGGCATCAAGTCCTTCATCCAAGTTGAAAAAATCTAACCAAAGCAAATAACAATGATCCAACGTGCAAGATTTAAGTATTTTGAAAACTCCCCATTTTTGTGATCATTTCCTCCGTGGGAAGATGGATTGCTACAAAACCCACCCAAGCTTCTTTGTTTGTAGGATGTTGAAGATGACCTTTGTATATGTAAATAGGATTAGAACAAGTTGGTAAACACAATTAGGAAGATTGCAGAAACAAATTATTATGGATTTCTCATAATCCCAAGTAATTAATTAATTTTCTGGTGTTAAATTTAATTTATACTTGTTGAATTTGAATAGCCACGAAATGATCTGATTTTTTAATCCACAACCACAAAAAAGAACCATTTTTATCAATTGATTGATTTCAAGCGAGGTCTACGTTTGGAGTAGAGTAGAGTTGATCATCTGAAAAGTCTGAGCGACTACTTGCGACGGTGCGGCATGACGGTGGCGGCGGGGATTGGATACGCGCTGGTAGCTCTGGGACCTTCTCTTTCACTTTTCGTCTCCGTCATCTCCAGAAAGCCCTTTCTGATCCTCACTGTTCTCTCCAGGTTCTTTCTTTGGGTCTCTCTGCTTTCCTCTACTGATTCGATTCGAAATGTAAAGGGGTTTCTTTGGGTCTGCTTTTGTATAGCGTTTGATCGTTTCGCGAAGACTTTCCTGGGGAAATTTTAGGGTTTATGAATCAAACTTGAATATCCTCTGATAGATTTGCTTGGTAAATGTAATGCAGTACGTTGCTGTGGCTTGTGAGCCTGATCATCTTGTCGGGATTATGGAGACCGTTTCTTCCTCTCAAAGCCAATGTGTGGTGGCCTTATGCTTTACTTGTTGTCACCTCTGTTTGTTTCCAGGAAGGTCTTCGTTTCCTTTTCTGGAAGGTTTACAAGTAAGTTTCTTCTTCTTCTTCCTACTGTTGTTCATGGTGCATTGTAGCTGGAATCTATCTCAGTTGTTTTCCTTTGTTAATCTGATACTGTGATTTACGGGACAATACATTGTCTGATAGTCATATTGGCTGTATAGCTTGTTTGAAATTTGTTGTTGTGTTGTTGTGCTGAAGGAGGCTTGAGGATGTTTTGGATTCCTTTGCCGATCGGATCTCAAGGCCCCGTCTGTTTCTCACTGATAAGCTGCAGATTGCTCTAGGTACGCATTCCGGTTTAATTTTTAAAATCTTATGTTTATTTCTTAGATTGTAGGTGGCTTTTGTGTTTGTGTATATCATTAGGTTGGAAAACACACTTGTGGACTCTTGCTGTATGATAAAGAAACAAGAAACGAATGGGTTGCAAGTATCTTGGTCTTGGATTTAGATATTTCAGCCTTGGCCTTTAAGCTTGTTAGAAGCTCTAGCGAACCATATTTAGGCATTTGTTTCTGGTTCTGCATCCAGAAGAAGAATGTTGTAGTATATGTTAGATAACCGATATAGCTGAATCTGACATGAAACCTAGAACTCATCCAGCACCTGTTATGCATCCCATTTCTTACTCTTTGACATGATCTAAGACTATTCCAGTCAATTGCATGCAGCTGGTGGCTTAGGTCATGGTGTGGCACATGCTGTCTTCTTTTGTTTGAGCCTCTTAACCCCAGCGTTTGGTCCAGCCACATTCTATGTCGAAAGATGTTCAAAGGTGCCATTTTTTCTCATCTCTGGTGAGTCAACTGAACTTAAGTTTTGTTCTTACAACATAGATTATTAAGCTTTGTGACTTCTTCATTGAGTCGCTAGTGGTTTGATTTTTTGTCTAGTGCACTAGTACTCATGTTGTAATATCTACAACCATGTCTTACAGCAATCATTGGTCTTGCATTTGTTACCATCCACACATTCTCGATGGTCATTGCTTTCGAAGGGTATGCAAAAGGGAACAGAGTAGATCAAGTAATAGTTCCAGTCATACACCTTGCTGCTGGAATGTTGGTAAGATCTCATATTTTCAAATCTCACCTGTATTGTCTATATATCCTTGGCTCATCACCATTTCATATTATTCTTTTTCTTCTTTTAAACGTGATCTTTTGTTTTTGTTTTCTTGGTTCTTATCAGACATTGGTGAATTTTGCATCGGAAGGTTGTGTAATCGGTGTTCCTCTTCTTTACCTTGTGGCATCCTTGACTCTTGTGCATTGTGGAAAAATGGTTTGGCAAAGGTTGTTAGAAACCCGGAACCAAAGCAGCGCCTCAGGGTAATCTGGCCTCAGTGTTCTCATCTAAAATAACAGTAGAAAGGTCATCCTTAGCATCATTGTATCTCCTGACTCGTTTTTATTTTTTTGCTTGCAAACCTCATTCGTCGTTGTCCCCTAATTGCTTTGAAACTCGAAAGTCATGTTATTTACGCACTTATGATCCGACATTATATTTTCTTAAAGCCGAGAAAGTTTTATACCAATTAATATCACAGAAAATCCCAGTTCTGCGTGTTGCGTTGGTCATTGTCATTTTTGGTAATTGGTATTATTATCTTATAAGAGGTCTCAGTCATAAACCACAATTTTTCAATAATCTTCTCCATCCATTCCTCTACTAGTTTAGATGTCCTTTAAGGAATGGTGAGGTAACAATTGTCCCACTAGTCTATTATTTCCCAACTTTTATTACACGTAACTAAGGTCGTTTGTCATGCAATATCAAAATTCCGGTACAAATTAAAGTTATTGTATAAGCTTTTGGAAAATAAGAAGAATGATTCCAGAGAGCTTGAAAACGTTCATGTTATAGGAAGTGAGTGGTGACGTTTGTATCGGACCATCCCTTCTCCATACGTTTTCGCAGTCGACCACAGCGTTGGTGCCAAGACTTACCATTTTCTCCATGTCCCAATACGATTTTTTAAGTGTGAGTTCCCAAGCAGTCTGAAACCTAGCCGAAGCGATTCCGTAATCCTTCTTGCAAACCTTGATCCGTCTCTTCCCATTCGGACCAGTGAACTTTCCACTGACTGTGCTAAGATGGGTGGTTGCGTCGTCCACTTGCACTTTTGACTGCGATATCTGATAAATAGTTTCCAATCAGATTTAAGACATGAGAGTGCATTCGAATACTTCAGCCACAATTTTATGTTTTGGCCCATACGTTATATTAGATTGAAATGTAAAAGCAGATACATATTCCAACGTATTGGCACATTACCGCAATTAAAAGCACGTCGCGGAGATTACGTGCGGCAAGTGTTCGTGGATCATCTCCGATGGATTGGAGGCAGAAGGTGACGTCAGTAGTCTCTTTGCATAGCTTGTCAATGTCTTCGACTGGAATCGAGTTTGCTGTTGGAAAAGCGAACAATAACAAGGACGTAATCATAACAAAACACATATGGTTTATTATTAGCATTGTGGCCATTTCGAGAAACAAAAGGTGATTCTTTTATTCTTTCATCGGTGAGCTTCAATATATAACTCTTTAACTTTTCTCTATAATCTTTGCTTTCAGTTATTTTTTTTTAAAAAAGTTAAAGTAACGTAACCCCATAGCTTTAAATAATAAATAATAAAGCCAACAGTTTTTGTATATCAGATTAGTACAAATGAAAATTAAAGTAACGTAATCTTTTTTTCTTTTGGACAAACTCAATCAAAATCTTTTAAACCAAAATATAAAAATAAATATATATATATATTTGAAACCAAACAATACAGCGTAACCAATCGGCCTCAATACCTAAAAAATCACAATAATTTGATTATAAATTTGTATTAACTATATCTGAGATTACATTTTAGATCATTACTGCCAGAAAAATAAATATTTATATTAAATTTCTACTAATCTGATATACAATCATACTATGTTGCACCACTCTTAAATTCTTAATGTTGATCGTATAATTCATACCGAAAAAATACTCTAAAGAGAAATACTTTCCGTCCGTAGTACGGATTCGTATAACTAATTGGCTAATTCTCAAGTAATTTAAATGTTGATACAAATAGCTAAGCTTAAAGCTTGCCTATAATATAACACGAGTAATTTGACACAGTATGATAAGATTGTGGTAATAGAAAACAAGAGGAGACTCTTGTTTCGGACCATGCTTTGACCATTCGTCTTCACACTCGCTCACAGCCTCAAAGCCAGCTTTCATGCGGTCGGACATTTCCATACGGTCCGTTAATGCCTTTGATTTTTTTCTGGCCAACTTCCCAAGCCTTGTGAAAACTGTTTGCCACAATCTCGTATTTTCCTTCGCATACCGCGATCCGATTCTTGCCAAGAAATCATTATAATTTCCGCGGATATTGTTGATATGCGTGATGGCATTAGTACTTTGAATTTGGATAACAGTTGCATGATAAGATCTCAAATCATATATACATATTGTAGAGTATTAAAAAACCCATAGTCTTCCTATTATATTCTCTATTAGTTAGTACTTTGGATATTGAGGATTTACAGATTTCTACTAATCCATTATTATCCCTAAATTTACTTACGTACATTGAACAAAATACTAATTAGAGCCTATTTACGAAATCTTCTTTTCAATCCAAGTCAGATGGGTTAGTAGTTAATTACCGCGATTAAAAACACGTTAAAGAAGTCGCGTGCGGCTACTGTACGTTTGTCTGACCCAATGTGTTTCAGGCAGAGATCTACTTCGGATGTCTCCTTGCACAAACTGTTTACGTCTTTGATTGGTATTGCATTTGATTTTGGGAATCCAAAGAGCACTAATACTAACAACAATGAACGAATAATATTGTCTTCTTGTAGCATCGTGGCCTTATTGAGAAACATATGTTTTTTTCTTTGTTTTCCCTTTTGTTTCGTGTGTTTATTTTTGTTTTTTTAAACGACTATGTGTGTTTCATTTAATTTATAGTTGAAATGAAAGCTAAAAAGGGCCGGTAATAATAATCTATGGATGAAAACGATTCCTTAAAAGATTGGGAAAATCTACAACTTCGAATCCTAATAGGAATCTGAGTAAGTCGTGTATGTTATATAAGAAGATGACCACAGTAATCTTTTTCTCTGTCTCTCTCTTTAGCTTGCTTACTAAGAAACATCTTTCTCTTTTGTAGTTTGTTTTCCGTTCTAGCTATGTCTAGGAGAGAATCATCAAGAACAACGGAGAAATCTGAGTTATGTTTCTACTGGAAGCTAGATATGTTGTTCGAATCAGCTCGAAACTTTTTCAAAGTAAAAGCGAGAAGACCTGTTGATATTCCAAAACCCGAAAACAGCGGTTCGACGTCGACGCCAGAATGGCTTGTGGAAGTGATGAGAGAAAAGAAAGGATACAATCCAAAGCTGATCTTGATTAGGGAGGTGCAAAAGACCGACCTCGACAAAACTCAGTCGTGTCTCTCAATACATGATAGCCACCTAGAGAGTTTAGATTTTTTGACAGAGGAGGAGACACGCGTCATAAGAGACCACTGGTCGCACTTGAAGAAACAAAAGGGATCAAAAGGAATCAAACAAAGCCCAGGTTTGAGAGTGGATTTGGTGGATCATAAGTTGAATGAGTATAAGGTTCATCTAAGGAGGTGGAATACTAAATATGTATTAAATAGGGGTTGGAACGATGTTATTGACTCCAAGACGATTGCGTTTAAAGACAACATTCAACTCTGGTCCTTCAGAGATGAACATAGAAAACTCTGGTTCGCTCTCTCTCCTCCGACCCGGAGGGATCAGAAGAACAGCTCCAGCAAGTCCTTCTTCTAGTCGTCATCATACTGTTGCTTATGCCACAAGTAACAAGGGTTTTTTTTAGGTTTTCAAGCTATTTTGGTTTTCTTGGTTTTTTCCCCTTTTGGTGTTTAGTTAATTTATTTTGGTGTTTAGGTTTTCAAGCTATTGGTTTTTTTCCCATTTTGGTGTTTTGTTAATTTATTTTGATGGGTTATAAATTATTGTTATGCTTATCCTTACCAAAACAAAAATTATAATGCTGATTTATTAACCGAAAAAAACAAGTGGATAAAACTTTATATAATTCTGCCATATAAAAATTAGTAAAAAACAAATTAAAATTTGATTTGACATTTTTTTAGTTGGTGTAAGATGTCACCAACTAAACCAGAGTAATTGAATCATACCAATTCTGGTTCGGTTCAATTTTTGGGATCCCTATAAACCGGAATTTTAACCTTGTCTCCATCGGCACATATAAATACTCTCAAAACCCTAAATTTCTCAAAAACCTCACAGCCACACTCAAATTAGAAGAAGATGGCTTGCACCGTAGATTTCCGGTGCCTAGACGAAGGATTCGGCGGCAAGACCTACAAACGCAAGCGCGAATCTCAGGAACAAGCCGCCGCCGAAGCAATCGGCGATGAAGCGTCGATGGACATCGATCAGGTTGGTCCTCCTTCAGCGAAACGCAGCGCCGTCGCTTCTTCAGAAGATCCAAACAAACCCATGGCTGTGGCGGTTGAGAAACCGAAGTACGACGGCGTAATCGCCGGGAAAGTCTCCGGACGGAATTGGAAACAGCCGCGAACTCATAGATCTTCAGGGAGGTTTGTGAGAAACAAGGGACCGGATCTGGAGGAGATGAAGAGGCAGAAGGAGATTAAGAGAGCGTATAAGGAGAGGATGAATGAGCTAAAGGAGGAGATAAGGAGTAACAAGGTGGAGAAGAGGAAGAAGAAGGAAGAGAGGGAGAAGAGGAAGAAGGAGAATGTTCTGAGAACTGGTACCAAGTTGCAGATTATTTCAAACCCCAAGACTTTGAAGAAGATTGCCAAATCTAAGAAGAGGAAGCAGCTTAAGAATGTTCCTGAGGAAATGTTGAGTCTTGGTAACAAGAAGAGTATCAAAACTTAGTCAATTTTGTTAAGGCAAGTTTCATGTTTTTTTTGTATTTTCTCGTGAGGTTTTGTGTTCAATGTTGATGGTTAACAATCTGCAGCTAAGAACTAAATGCTGTAGAATTTTAATAGTGAGAAACAATCTTTTGCTTCAACAACAGTTTAAAAACCTATCCTTTTGTTTTGCAGTTATATATATATCACTCCTTTGAGATATTACATTTGTGATGGTTTTGGTGAATCTGACATGATTATAGCTCCTGGCTAAGCTGTGGTTAATCAGATTTTTGATTATGATTGTCTATTTGACTTTACTCCAAATTATCGCATACTTTGATTAACTAGAGTATCAGTTTAGTTATGTGGTTGTTGTTCATTTGCTATTTCTGGCTCTGCTTCGTGATGACGATATTGGTGTTTCTGATACTACCTTAAGCCATTAGGGCGATATAGATAGGCACAAGGTTAAGTTCCATATGGTCATATAGTATCAATTCATTAGTAGTTGCCTGATATTGACTTGGATTGATGGTTTCAATTGATAACGGTTGAGCTTCGATGAGTTTGAGTTTGTATGTTGTTATGTGTTCATTATGTCTATTGCTTGGAATTTAATTGTAGTCCGTCCTGTGAAAGAACTTTATTTGGGTTTCACTAGATGAGAGACTGATATCATAGTCAGTCAGTCACTCAATTGTTCATGATTACACAACTTTTAAGCTAACGTTGGACCAGGAAGTCTAAGATTAAGTCTTTTGAAAAGTTTTGTGTGGTTGTACTTCAGATATTTGATCAATTTGTGACGCAAACGTGTTAAGTTGTGGTGATTGGTGAAAGGGGCTTTACAGACACCTTAACCATTGCCTCAAAACGGTGGAACTTTTAAGATTCATTTAGGAGGAGATCGAAAAGTTGTCTAAATAGGAAACTGGACAAAGATATCAGAATTTTAAGGTTTTGTTTTCAACAAATACATTTTGCTATATTAGGTGGGACAATGACTCGTGCAACAATCCAACTGTGCAGTACTCGTCTATAAGGGTTAGGTAGGTTAATTGTGTATATTTGGTGAGAGTTGGCCGCATAAAGCTTAACCAAGAGCAAATCTTTTCTCAAATCTCGTTTCAGAATTTTTGATAAATGATTTATTAACAGAACATATATATACACAATTGGAAAACAAATATGAGACAATTATTGCATAATATAATAGTGAAAAGAAGAAAGAAAGATAAGAAACAAACGAAAGTAACCATGACTTTGGTCGAATTATTCAATTTCGGAAGCAAACATAAAATAAATAAAAATCATTTTTGCTAGTCCAATTCTCATATCTCATCTCTCATCTCTCATCTCTCTCTCTGCCTGTCTGGGCTCTTGTATCTCTCAAAAGACCTATCCAAAATAGTTTGAGACTTTACGAATTCCAAAGAAGCATGAAAAACCCTATCCTTATGTAGCTCTTTCGACTCCGTAATCACCAAAACTCGTCCTTTCAATGGCGTCAACGCCGCCTCACTGGGTCACCTCCACCAACAACCACCGTCCATGGCTTCCCCAGCGTCCTCGCCCCGGTCGCTCCGTTACCTCAGCTCCTCCCTCTTCCTCAGCCTCTGTTTCCGCCGTCGCCTCTGTAGCTTCAGCTCATCTACCACAAACTACTCCAAATTTCTCTCCTTTGCAAACCCCCAAATCAGATTTCTCTGCTCGTCAATCAACCCGATTCGTCTCCACCTCCACCAATAACCATCGTCAGGCCCGGCAAAACCCAAACTACAACCACCGTCCGTTGCTTCCTCATGGTGTCTCTTCGTCCCCTCGTGGCTCAGCTCCTCCCCCTTCATCCGTAGCCACTGTTGCTCCAGCTCGGCTATCACAGGCTCCTAATTTTGCGCCTCTCCAGACCCAAAAATCGGATCTTTCGTCCGATTTCTCTGGTCGTCGTTCCACTAGGTTCGTCTCTAAGATGCATTTTGGACGACCCAAGACTGCAATGGCCACTCGGCACAGCTCTGCTGCGGAAGATGCTCTTCAAAACGCTATTGATTTCTCAGGAGACAGTGAGATGTTTCATAGCCTAATGTTGAGCTTTGAGTCAAAGCTGTGTGGCTCTGACGATTGTACCTATATCATCCGTGAGTTAGGGAATCGTGGTGAGTGCGATAAAGCTGTCGGCTTTTATGAGTTTGCAGTTAAACGAGAGAGGAGAAAGAACGAGCAAGGGAAATTAGCTAGTGCTATGATTAGTACTCTAGGTAGATATGGCAAAGTAACTATTGCTAAGAGGATTTTCGAAACTGCTTTTGCTGGTGGATACGGAAACACTGTTTACGCCTTCTCTGCTCTGATAAGTGCCTATGGGAGAAGTGGGCTTCATGAGGAAGCCATTAGTGTCTTCAGCTCCATGAAAGACCATGGATTGAGGCCGAATTTGGTTACTTACAATGCTGTGATTGACGCTTGTGGTAAAGGCGGGATGGAGTTTAAGCAAGTAGCCAAGTTTTTCGATGAGATGCAGAAGAATGGTGTGCAGCCAGATAGAATAACTTTCAACTCTTTGCTTGCTGTTTGTAGTAGAGGAGGGTTGTGGGAAGCAGCAAGGAATCTGTTTGATGAGATGTCGAATAGAAGGATTGAGCAGGATGTATTTTCTTATAATACGCTTTTGGATGCAATTTGCAAAGGTGGGCAGATGGACCTTGCTTTTGAAATCCTCGCTCAGATGCCTGCGAAGAGAATCATGCCTAACGTTGTAAGTTATAGCACCGTTATTGATGGTTTTGCAAAAGCCGGGAGATTTGATGAAGCTCTTAACTTGTTTGGTGAGATGAGATATCTCGGTATTGCATTGGATAGAGTTTCTTACAATACATTGCTTTCAATCTATACTAAAGTTGGTAGATCTGAAGAAGCTTTAGATATTCTGAGAGAAATGGCATCTGTTGGGATTAAGAAGGATGTTGTAACTTACAATGCTCTTCTTGGAGGATATGGAAAACAAGGAAAATATGATGAAGTGAAAAAAGTTTTCGCTGAGATGAAGCGAGAGCACGTGGTGCCTAATTTACTTACTTACTCAACACTGATCGATGGGTACTCGAAAGGGGGTTTGTATAAAGAGGCAATGGAGATATTTAGGGAGTTTAAAAGCGCCGGGTTAAGAGCTGATGTTGTTTTGTACAGTGCATTGATTGATGCATTGTGCAAGAATGGGTTGGTGGGTTCTGCTGTTTCTTTGATCGATGAGATGACAAAGGAAGGAATTAGTCCAAACGTTGTAACGTACAATTCCATAATCGATGCCTTTGGTCGTTCTGCAACTATGGAGAGATCAGCTGATTATAGCAATGGTGAAGCCAATAACTTAGAAGTCGGATCTTTGGCTCTCTCATCTTCTGCTCTAAGTAAATTGACTGAAACAGAGGGTAATCGGGTTATACAGCTATTTGGGCAGTTAACAGCTGAGAGTAATAACCGAATGACGAAAGATTGTAAGGAGGGTATGCAGGAGCTCTCTTGTATATTGGAAGTTTTCCGCAAAATGCATCAGCTGGAAATCAAACCGAATGTTGTAACCTTTTCAGCAATTCTGAATGCTTGCAGGTTTGTTTCTCTTTTGGATCCTCTTTTTGAAGTTAGCGAGTGAAAGATATGACCCAATTGTTTATGGTTATCCTAGATTAGCGATATGTGATTTTACTGTTTGACTTCATTTTGGTGAGGATTTTTATTTTGTTGACATGTTTGTATCAATGTAGTCGCTGTAACTCATTTGAAGATGCATCAATGCTGCTAGAGGAGCTCAGGCTGTTTGATAATAAGGTATATGGTGTTGTTCATGGACTTCTCATGGGAGAGAGAGAGAATGTATGGCTCCAAGCTCAGAGCTTATTTGACAAAGTAAATGAAATGGATGGTTCAACTGCTTCTGCCTTCTACAATGCTCTAACCGACATGCTTTGGCACTTCGGTCAGGTAAAATCACATTAGAGGCCTTATTTTGTAACCAGTCTTTTCTGTGTGTTAGTATCAGACCAAAGGCTTACTATTGGGTACCTTTTGCTATAGAAACGAGGTGCAGAACTGGTTGCACTTGAGGGAAGATCGAGGCAAGTGTGGGAGAACGTGTGGTCTGATTCATGCTTGGACTTACACCTCATGTCTTCTGGAGCTGCACGCGCAATGGTCCATGCGTGGCTACTAAACATACGCTCCATTGTCTATGAAGGTCATGAGTTACCTAAAGTGTTGAGGTAAGCTACAAATAGCTCTTTGGTTTAACTGTCAACTTAAACTGGCCTATAACACCCAACACTTTTCATTTTATGGTTGCTTCCTAAAACTCCATCAGGGCCAGAGAATTTAGTTCAATATCCTCTTTTTAGAAATCTGATATGTAGCATTTATAGATTTAGTAAGTTTTTGTCGTGCATTACAATTAGTATCCTTATAGGTACTCAGTTATGTGGTGTGGTCTTGATTTGCATATCTTTCGTGATCCTTAACTCTTACCTCTAATCCGGGTTGGTTCATAGTTGTGACATTGTTTATTAACTTTTTATTTATTTATTGTGGCAGTATATTGACTGGTTGGGGTAAACACAGCAAAGTGGTTGGAGACGGAGCACTAAGACGAGCGGTTGAAGTCCTTCTGAGGGGAATGGATGCACCGTTCCACCTGTCGAAATGCAACATGGGGCGGTTCATATCAAGCGGTTCAGTGGTAGCAACTTGGCTGCGTGAATCAGCCACACTGAAACTCTTAATCCTCCATGACCACAAAACAACCACAACGGCTAGTACAACAAAGAAATCAAAAGACCAACAAGTTGAAGAAACCTCGCTTACTTTGCAGCCTCTTCTTTTGTAGCTCTACTTCATGTGTGATGATGTAAAACAATTTATGGTCATCCATTTTGTGTATAGGACCGTTGGTCCTAACAATGTTTAGGCGCTGTGCTAGTATTTTTGTAACAAGCAACTCCATTAATTACTTATGTGAAAAGGGCTTTTCAAAAATGTAAAATATATACAACCGAACGAATCGTGAATCATTTTTAAGCTAATCTCCAGATTTAGAAACGAAAAGTGGAATGACTTAACATCAGATTCAAGTGAAAGATCCAAAAAAAAAAAAAAAAAATCAAAACATAGACTTGCAGAAGAAGAAGAAGAAGACAAGGTTACATTACGGTTATTTACCCAACGATGTGGTG